TTTTTTTGTTTGTTTTCTTGTTTTTTTTTTTTTTTTTTTTGGTGAATGAATGGAGTGGAATACATGGATTTAAGAATTTCTCTGAAGAATTTGGACAACTTCCTTTCCTTTCTACCTTTTCTAAACAATTTCAGGACAAGAACATAAGTGGGTTTCAAAAGAACCTTAATTTTTAGTTCATGGGTGTTTTGAGGACAAAAGTTAGAATAAGGGGCAGCCTTACTCCCAAGCTTACTATCAACTATGGTGTGTGTGTGTATGTGTGTATTTTGTGGGTATGTACGTGTGTGTATAAAATACATACATGTATACATACACATCTTTCCTGGTGAGCTCCATAGACAACACATCTGTTGCTCTATACTGGGGCATGTGTAATTGCCATTCTTCATGGATAAATTTCCTAAAGGCCAACCAAAATCATGGAGGGGAAGGATCAAGGGGAAGTAAGGAAAGTAACAACAGCAACAAAAGAAAAATGGAGTGGTAAAACAGAAAATATCTTAATTCTATACAAACCCAACCAGGGCTCTGTGAAGGTTTAAAGGTATAAAAATAACATGAAGACAGGAATAACACCCACATAAGTCACTGTGGCATCCAGTTTCTATTCACAAAGAAAAAGCTCCAGTCCATCTTTTAATTTTTTTTTTGAAAAATTCCTTACATTACAGAACTAAACTGAAATGTATTAATACTCCACTCTTACATTTCCATGACAAACAAAAATTCATGAGCCAAAAAAAAAAAAAACCCAAAAAAAAAAAATGGAAAAAGGGGAGAAGCTTATAAAACTAAATATGGATATGTCAGCATAACTGCTGAACAGAGAAAGGAATTAAAACACTTTGAATTAAAAAATCATGAGTGGATGATAAAGTGTGTAGAAACTGAAAATTTACAAACTATTTAAAACCTGGAATCGCTGACTGTTGAGAAACTACACAGATGGATCATGGGTGGTGAAGAGCAGGAAGGGATCATGGATGAACCTGCACTGCTCTAGCTGCTCCCCATGCCACCTGTCTCCGAGGAAAGCCTGTAAAACAGAAACAAGAGTAAAGTCAGTTTTCCCAGGTACAGTTAGTACTCACTAACAGGGCATATGTCAAGGTTTCTTAGATTAACTAGTGTGGTGTGTTATATTGGGGTTGGGTGTGTAATGCCACTACAACCAAGTGTCCTGAGGCATTTTCAGAAGGGGTTTAACAAAACATGCCATGTTGGTGACAGTCACTTCTTTGTTGAAGTGTTTCTAGAGATACACCACTATTTTTGGGGAGAGGGAAAACAACACTTGTTGGGGGTACCACAAGGGTTGCACAGCTGTTCCTTTACTGTTCTGCTTCAAAAGCAAATACAAGTCTGGGGAGAACACCAGCCTTCAGAAAGTTAATGCTATCATGTGTTACAGCATATGTAGCTCTATTAGTGTGAAGGAATTACTTTGTGTGTTGAGAGCACATTTGAAGACATTACATAATTTTAAATATTAAAGGGTGTTAAAGGGAGGAACCACGTATAGAAATTACAGCAAAGAATTCAATCATAGTTATTATCAAGCTTAGATTTCAGTACAAAGATGAACAAGAGCACAAACAGTGGAGTTTCAGTTCTTTAGCTCAGTTTTACTGTGCTAAACCCTCCTTGTAAACAACCTACACAGTGCCTTTCTACTTGCTTTAAATAGTCATCTGGGATCATGAAAGCAATTAAACTTTGATGTAAAGGGATTAAGTACTTTCTTGAAATCAGATAGGAAGCAAAATACCTCATTTTGAAGGTAACTAAAGGTTTAAGACTCACTGTAAGCATAAGAGCTGACTGACCCATCTGTGGTGTTTGAATGCCACTGTGTGCACTAACATACGAATATACACAGGGAGTGGGGCTGTCCCAGAAGTCAGAAAGGTCACCTTCAAATAAGAGTGGTTTGTTTGTTTTTAAGTAAGAAATGATTTCTCCTGTCTAACTACTCCCCTAAATGTACCTAAATTAAATACAGATATGAGATCTCCAAAGCTTCAGAGTCAGGCCTGCTTAGTATGCTCATAGGTCAAATTCAGCATGAAAGGGAATATCTCTTTGTACATCTGTAATACCAATCAATACTGGGGAGGTAGAGGAAAACACATCTGTGATTCGTGCTAGCTATAGTCTAGCTAAATGAGTGAGCCCCAGGTTCTGCCTAAGATCTCACCTCAAAAAAAAAAAAAAAAAAAAAAAAAAAAAAAGTTCGTAAATGTCATTAAGTAGGAGAATGAGGAAATTAAACATGTTTTCAGTCCTTGCACCTGCACACATGCACTCACATACATGTGCACATGAAAGAGGAATACATGAGCTGTAGAGATGGCTCATTGTATACAGTGCCATACGAACATAAAGACCTGATTTTATTAATGCCATCAGTAGACATGTTAAAACTAAAACAGACACAGCAGGTAGTCCACATCTGTACACACAGCAGTTAACACAGATCAGATGTAGAGAAAATAAAATTCCTAGAAGCTGGAAAGTCAACTGTTAGCAAGGATCAAAAAGACCATCTGGGCTCAGCGGGTATGAGCAAAGGCTTGTTCTTCCAGAGGTCCTGTCCTTTGCTCAATTCCCAACAACCACATGGTGGCTCACAATGATCTATCTACACACCCACAATCATCAACACACAAGCATATATATAGGAGTGAGTGTTTGTGGGCAAGGTAAACAATGAGTTTTAGGGGCTCAAGAGACATCTCAGAGTTAGCAGCATTTGTAACTCTTGGAGGAACCTGGATTTGGTTCACAATGTCATTTGCTGGCTCACAAGTGTGTGATTCCAATCCATTGAGGGCCCTCAACACACTTGGTGCACATGCGTACACACAGAAAATACTCATACAAATAAGTAAGCAATAAACTCTGAATGAGAAAACTCAGCAGTAAAGAAAGGTTCAATGAAACTTATTTTAAATCTACAATCTTAAAATACCCCACCATATAGGGTGGTAGTACTGTGGCCGCATAAACAGCTCAAGACCTGTCCAGCATTCACTAGAATTATAGATTAAGCAAGAATTTAAAGGGCAAGCTGCAGTGGGTAAGGCACCGAAGAGAAATCTCAACCAGGACACATCCAATTCATGATAGATAGTCAAGCTCCTTCAACATCTGGATTCCTTCTCAATGATTCTTTGAGAATATTTCATTAAAAGGTCTTTCAGTGGGGCGGTGGTGGCACACACCTTTAATCCCAGCACTCAAGACACTGAGGCATGAGGCACCAGGATCTCTGTGAGTTCAAGGACAGCCTGGTCTACAGTTCCAAAACAGGGCTACCTAGAGAAATGTCTCCGAAAAAAGAAGAAAAAAAGAGGCCTTCCAACAGACAAGATAGTTAGAAAACAAGATCCCTACGAATATAGTTAACAGTGTGGTTAATTAAGTTGTAACTATAAAGAGCTGAACCACACAACTTAGGACACAGCTAACATCCAGACCCAGACCTGGAGTATGTTGAACATAAATGTGTAAGGTCAATCTGGAATAAGGGAGCCACAGTAACACTAGACTGAAAGGCAATGTAATAAACACAAGCACCTATGTTTTTCTTATGTCCAATTTCACCCTAAGGTTGTTGGGAAAGTCCACCTGAAATAAATCTACATAGAAATCTTTGCTGATACCAGGAAACTCAGACCAAAAGAAAATCAAATGGCCTTCTCACTATGAGATACATTTTTCTTCCTTTTTGTTCTTTAACAGTAGAGAACCCAGCGCCCAACAAATATTCTACCACTGACTAAGATGAAATTCTCAACCCCTAGCACATCATTTTTGTCTTTTGTGGAAAATACCCATAGCTAAGCTTCATTAAAAAAAAAAAAAAAAAAAAAAAAAACAAGAACTAGTAAAACAAATGGTTGGGCTTTACCTCTGGTAAGCTATGCTGTGCAAGGGACTGGGATCAAGCCCCAGTACCAAAAACAAGAATTTAGTAAACACAGGAGCTAAGTGCACCACTGTGTAAAAGCACAGCAAAACAATTAGTCCTGGCTAACCACCAATGTTATAAAGTTTATATTCTCTTGGGGCTTCTTTTCTATTTCCTGCTACAGAACAGTTAACACCTATACTTCATTCAAATCTAAAAGCATATTATCTCTCAAGATAGTATTGCTAGTAATTGAGAAGGGGAAGAAAGAAATAAAAGGTAAAAAACTTGCCTGACCAATTAGTTGATTTAGAATGTCTATTCAACATACTCAGATCCAGTAAGCCCTTTCTTTATTATCACAGAAGGATATTTAATGATCCATTTGAGGAATACAGACAAAAGCTACCTAACTTTTGAGATGGCTCATTATTATGGATAAAGTAAATCCTATGTATGCCTTTGAAATAACCACTCACAGAGTTAAAGAGCTAGGCAAGGACAACACCCTTGTTATTGACTGGTGTTACCAATATAAGGAAAGCTGTTCTTGACTAAAAGCTTCTGGGCAATAAAATGAAAACTCATCAGTCTTGAATTTACTGAAGGCTCTTGTACTTAGGAATATTGATTGACAAGGGGTTTTGGAAATTCATGTGGGATGCAAAAAGACCCAAGTAGGCTGTATAGACATCCAAGCTTACAAGGCACAGGTCACAAGTCCCCACCCCTTCACCCGTCACATCACACAGTGAGCTACAGTTCTTACTGTGGCAACTTTATTATAACTAGAGACACAGATCTGGCCAAGAAAGCCAGCTGACAGCTTAACCATTAAATAAAGTTTAAAAAAAAAAAGGATTAACGGAGAAGATTTTATTCATCAACACAGAGCCTAACACATTGTTTATATATTGCAAGGCAGAATAAAGCTACAAAAAAGTGTAACAGAATGAGATAGAGTAAGAACTGGCTCTAGATAAAGATTTCAATCAACAAGTCAGACTCTGAAACAGGCACTGATTTGTAAAGACCTAAACAAGAATTACCCACCCCCACCCCCACCCAGTCATTCCCCCCCCCAAAGTAGTAAAGAAAAAAACCATCACAAGCTCACAATAGTTTGGTTCTCACCAATGTTAACAAAGAAAAACAAAATGAACCAACACTTGAGGAGGTGCCAAGATAAGCACTCAGTAGGGAGAGAATCTCTGTTTCTCGCCTTTCAGTTTGTTAGTTACACATGGCACAGTAGAGGTGGTGGTGGTGGTAGCTGAAGCCCCGGTACCCTTAGCAGCAGACACAACATTTAGAGCCAGGAGAGGGATGGGTTTCATGCCAAGCAGACTGGAGACACAAGGGGCGGTCGGAAGAGGGTTGGGGAGGCTGGAGGGTGCGTCGGAAGTCCCCGCTGTGGCGAGCGAGGGGGTGGTGGTGGAGGAGGAAGAAGAAGAAGAAGGGGTGGAGGGTTGAGAGAGGTTGATGCTGAGGTGATCAGGGATCGTGACGGAGGCTGCCTGGGAGGAGGGTTTAGCGTTTTCTAAACTGTAACAGAGGAAAAAAGGAACAAAAAAGAGGGTGGGTGGAAGGGAAGAGCACAATAGGGAAAAAGTACAGGACAAAATCCGCTTCAGTTATATCAGTAAGTGTCTTTGGCTGCCAATTAGGAAGAGCTAATATCAATTTATACCAAACTTTTAGCTTGTGCCCCACCCTCTAAATAGATCACCACCTTCCCTCCCACAAACAATGAATGTTATTTAAAACTACTTTGATAAAGACACAGCCGACAAGACAGAGAAGGAACCATAAGAGCACACATTTTTAAGTATGATATATTGACCCAACCCCAAAACAAGAATAAAAACGGGTAGGCCTGCCGGGTGGCAGAGCTACTATGGAGGTTGAGGCAAACCATCAGAAGTCCACAGCCTGCCTGGGGTAGAGTTGCGTTTAAAGGGCAACTTTAAGAACATCTTTCAGTCTCTGTGAGTTCAAAGCCAGTCTGGTCTACAAAGCTACACAAGAAACCCTGTCTCTCAGGAAAAATAAATGAATGAATGAATGAATAAATGAATGAATGAATAAGACTCTCTTTCAAAAAAAAAAAAAAAAAAAAAAAAGCAGACTAAGATGGCTGGGAATTGTATACTATACTTAGACAACTTTAAAGTTCAGCTGCCAACAGTGTTTTTCAAAAAAGACTAATATAGAGTTAACAGTGTAAAAAATGATTTCATACACCAAATCATAACTCAATTATTCAAAAAAATTATTTAAGAAATAATACATGTTACACTGCAGCTACTTAAAAAAATTTCAAGGCGAGGGTCTTTCTATGTAGCCCAGGCTGACCTGGAACTAGAGAATCTTGCCTCAGCCTCCTCAGTTGCTAGGATTACTGGTGTGAATCACCATGCACACCTAACAAGAATTTTTTCCTGTAGTTAGTAAATATTAAGGCCTATTTAAATCTTCACTGCAAAACTATTACAATGGAAGGAAGGAGGCAGAGTCCAAAGTAGCCATGACCAGACTAAGTTCAGAGAAACTAAGAATGTAGCATTAAAAAAAAAGAAAGAAAGAAAGAAAGAAAGAAAGAAAGAAAGAAAGAAAGAAAGAAAAAGTGTGAATAAGATCCAGGGAAACCTTTCTGGTGGGAAGTTGTGTCCATATTCCTAGATTTTAAAGTTGAAAAACTCAAGTACTATCAACTTCTACCCTATATATATTCCTTATCTAAGCCAGGAACACAGTTATTTGCTGAGATGACACAAACTCCCACAAGGGCAAGAAACCTCCTAACTCCACTTTGTTTAGCTTGTTCAGGGTCATTTCAGTCATTAAGGAATTATCACAGCAATGAGTCACAAAGACACAGAACCCTATGACAACAATTCAGGAAGTACAGCAGAAACGCTCTGAAGGAAACAATAAAAACAACCAGTTTGGTTTTTCTCATTCAAACTGAGTCAAGGAAAGGTTTTAAAAAAAAAAAAAAAAAAGTGAATTCATACTTATCCTGGAACTGGTGATAAAGCTTTAAAAAGTTCTCATCCAAACCCATAGTTTGGATAGTTTCACTCCAATAGTTTACACAATTCTGCAGTTACTTCATTCAAGTAATGATGTTTTGCCTCTTTACAAATATAGACACTAACTTATTTAAAAAAAAAAAAAAAAAGCAATAAGGAAGGTCAAATTTTAAAGCTATAATAATCTGAACTACCTCACTCAAAGTAAGTTTATCCAAAGTACAAGTTGACAATTTCTAGATTGTAACAGCATTTTCTTGCTATATAAAACTTCCCTCCAATATGAACTAGATTACTAATATTTTACTCAACAAATTTGATGTAGTAATAAAACAAAGTGCATCTAGGTTTTTTTTTTTTAAGGTTTATTTATTATGTATAGTGTTCTGCCTGCATGTATGCCTGCATGCCAGAAGAGGGCTCTTAACCTCTGAGCCATTTCTCCAGCCCCGATACAATCCTTTCTATATAAAAAGAACTGCAATAGCTCAAAGGGAATTAATGATCTTTTCAAGTAGCGGTAAAATTCTCTTGTTGGCCAGGCAGTGGTGGGGCACAACTTTAATCTCAGCACTTAGGAGGCAGAGACAGGCAGATCTCTGTGAGTTCAAGGCCATCCTGGTCTACAAAGCTACACTGAGAAACCGTCTTAGAAAGCAAAAACAAAATACTCTTGCTGGTATAAATATGTAAGTACATGTATAACATGAATATAAACTTCAAGTATTAGATTCAGGAACTGTTCATTTTAATGTGGAAGATAATAAATACAAGAAAAAGATTTCTTCATAAAAAGATAAATTTAAGTCCCTTCGGAAATGGGTAGCTATTAACAGAGCTAAGGAAAGAAAACATCCTGTAGGGTGCTCATCAGACTATATACAATTGTCCTACAACAGAAAGTGTAGCAACAGTACCTACAAATAGGAAATAAACCTTAGGAAGTCACTTGTGGATGTATAAGAATGGAGTGAGGAAAATATGCCTGCAGTATCCAGAGTACTCCTAAGCCTGTGCTTTTTCCCCACAACAATGGAAGTTTGAGCAGTTTGCAGAGTAAATGCTAACAGTTAACTCCAAGAAGCTAAATGTCTTATTCTTGAAAAATTCAAGGTGCTTTGGACTCAAAATCAAATAAAAAAATAAAAGTGACATCTACATGGTGTGTAAAACAAGTAAAATACAACTATGTTTCAGTGTTTATCTGCTATTGTTAGAGCACTATCCTATTCAGCAAAAACATATACTGTCACTCTTTTCACTGTTCCAAAACATCAAAAACAAAAAGCAAGCAATCTATAAAACCCCAATCTGGTTGGTTATTTTCCTCTGCTAAAGACAGAAGCAGTGCTCAAGGTAATAAAGAAGGGGGAGGGGATTTGCAATCTGTATCCACCTCAAGTAAACTCACATATTTTTTCTATATGGCAATACCCTCCCTTACTACTATGTTGTACTTATGAAGCATAAGACAGGTCAGACTTACCTGACATTGATAAGATACTGAGCCAGGCTAATGCTGGCAGCAGACCCAGTGATGGTGACCTGCCTATCAGTAGATCCTTCCACTGGGTTTGCAATTTTGATCTGCGCCCCAGACATCTGACGGATCTCATTGATTTTGGCTCCCTGACGCCCGATTATGCAGCCAATCAACTTGAGAAAGAAACAATAAAAAAAAATACTAAATTAAGAGTTGAATAGCTACACACAAGACCACATAGCAACCAATTTCTACACTTTGTGCCTAAAATTATAATTGGCAATCTTCTGATATACTGCAATCAAAACCTTGAATCATAGTTCCACTTGAATTCCTGAACCATTCATGTTATTAACTACAAATCAAGGTCAACTCCAAGCCACTTTCTCAGCCCAACCATTAGCATTTGTTCTTATCTCCATAGTATTGCCTCCACTCCAAAGACAAATTATCACAACAATATTTGACAATCTAGTAAGACAGCTAGGAATAAATACAAGCGTTGAACCATCAAAATTCGAGCATTCATCCTGACATCATCCCTCCTCCCAAAGCATAGTTAAAGTCTGATGCTCTTTAGAGGGAAGGAAAAGAGGCTCCGAGTTTCCAATGCTTTAACAGAAAGGCAAATAATTTCTACAGTATAAGAATAGGTTCTGCATTTGAAGTCTATAACAAAGTTAATTGTACCAATTTTCTCTAGCAAGGTTTTCCTCAGAATTCTAACCTACTTTATACTTACATCGTTTGGAATGGTGAGTTCATGAGAAGTAGTTTGAGCAGATGCATCCAAACCTGCTAAAAGACAGAAAAGAGCAAGAAAATTTAATGGACAGCATTCAGAATCAGTGATTTGCACATTAAACTAACAATGAAATAAACTGGAAACCCAGCATTGGCTGTTGGGATTCATCACTAACTCTGAAGCCTCCCAGGAGGAAAGATGGGAGAGGGGAATCGAACAATGTTGGAAAGATTCTTCTGTACAATCAGAAGAGCTGATTTCATGGAAAGCCCAGATTACCGGGTAGGGAGATAATAGGGGGCAATGAGTGTGGCATTCTTAAACAGGAGCAAATTCTAAACAGCAAAGCTTCTATACCTCTATCCCCTTTCTGATTAAGATTACTCTTGTGTCCTAATTTTATTTCACCCAGTGCTCACTAGAATCAAATGCCAATTTCATTCCTGGTATGATACCGGGTATCACAGACTATTGGCACAAACATTCAAATACTAAGTTGCTTTAATTATACCTGTATTACAGTAAATCCTCCACCTCTATCCTCCCCCAACTAAACTTGAAGATCAAATAGATAAAATGGCAATCAGTTTGAGGGGAGTTTATTTCTCTAGATTTATTCTGTCTTTAGCTCTAATTGTTCTGCCTTTTATTCAGATCCAAAGAGAAAAAAGAAAAAGAAAAAAAAAATCCCATCATAAACACCCCTACCCATATATAAGAACACCAGGAATGGGCCATTCCTGGTGGCTAACCCTAACAGCTCTATTCCTGCTCTCAACTACATTTTCAGAAGGTGGTTGGCCAGATCCATCAAGGGACCCTCAGGGGCACCAGGCCCACCCCTTTGCTCTCTCAGCTCCTCTCTGCCATGTGCATGTTGCTGGTATGGTTTATGGGCAGTGAAACAAGACTCCCACCAGTTTATTAATATAACAGTAGAATACTACAGATTTTTTTTTTTTAATCATTACCCCAATAGCCTTTCACCTCTGGAGAGCTGGATTCAATGCCTGTTAAGATACAAGTGAAAATGAGTTTGGTGGTCTCATTCTAACCCTATCGGACAAGTTATTCCTTATACAGAAAAAAAAAGCCCCAAAACAAAACAAAAACAAAAACAAAAATACACTACATAAGGAACAAATGGATTGTCTCTGCCCAAGTCTTGTGAACACCTGGTGGAAAGAAAGGGGATGCTAATCATATCAAGGTGGCCACTATCAGGATGGGCTATAGAAATATCAGCCTACCCCTTTCTTGACAAGCATCCCCAGACCTCACCCCAAATCTTCCAGGGCTTTTTATTCTTTTATAATTAACTCACCCCAAACAAAAATCATGTTAACAAACACATTACCTCCTTTAGCCACAGTAGGTCAAGTTTATACCAGCAGGTGCTGGATGATAATCAAGTTTGTTTTAAACAGTTGTCAAGCTGAGACCTTGGGACTGGCCTCTATCTTGTACTACACCTTACAAAAATAAACACTGAGGTATCCATACCACTGAATCCGGTGTTGCCATGGGTCATGGGAAAATGAGACTGTTGCATTGCCAACTGGTGCAGCTTGGTCAACTGCAGGAAGGAAAACAGAAGAGACCAGCATTAGAAGGATAACCTAGTCAGCACTCAAGCACATCCTGATGTGAGAATGTATACAGCTCCTGACTCCCAAAGTTGATTAGACTTTTCCAACTGTAACATAGGATAAGAATGGGGCTTACAGTACAATCCAGAGGACAGGCAGAATATGACAGTTAAGGGTTAGAAATAGAAAGGATGCCATTATATAAGAATGAATGCATTTTGGGTAAATGAAAAGGAAAGCAGTTAACACCGGCCCAACGACCATCCCCTGTGGACTATGAAAGTGTACAGTCATTGACAACGGTTGCCCCAGGGACAAGCACAGACAGGCTAGATAAACAAACTGCAGTGGTGCTAGGGAAAACACACCATGCAGGGTTCACCAGTATTAGGAAAAGGGAAGGAGACGAGGGGGGCAGGGAAACTGCAAGGAGTGAAGCTTAACAAGAAACTAAACTGGGCTTTGTCCCCAAATATTTTTTCCAACTATCTTATTCATAATACACATAGATAATTGTCCTAGATGGTGACAAAATAATCCTTCTCCTAGTCTACTTCACACCTGTCCTAGGGGCTACCACTACCCAAGACCAAACTCAACTTCCAAGTCTAAAGCTTGGCACCTAAAAGGGTTTTAGTAAGTATGAAAGAAGCATGCAGAAAAAAAGTCCTTGAACAAAATCTAAATACCAGTACTTAAGTAGGAGGTTGTTAGTAAAGTTTGAGTTGAATTCCAACAATCAGTTTTCTAGCTTCTCTATGTAAACAAACCCTCAATGCTTTTTCTACTTTGTTGTAACCTCAGACTGAGGAGTACCTAAAGGCAAACCCAACCTCCCATTCTCCCAATGGGAAGTACACTTTACTGGCAGTTTGAATGTGCCAAGATATTAATAGTGCACCATAAAATATTTTTCTTAGAGTAATCTAAAACACTGGCGGAAGAAACTAATAATCTGATAATTTCTAGGCAAACAAGTTCATATTGTGGTTCACCTTGTAAGCCATAATACCGCAAATGTTCAAACCCAACTTAATCCTATCTACTAAGGAGAAAGAAATCACACAATTTTGGATGGAGGGGGAGTTTTTCAAACAAGAAGTGAAATCAAAACTTACATCTGGCTGTGGAATGGCATACTGTCCTTGAATGGTATAGGCCTACAAAAGGAGGAAAACAGTTCCTATTAAAAACCAATCACGGACAGCCACCCAGTGTGAGAGGGACGACAAGTTTTCTACTAGCCAAGAAGCCAGAATTGAACTAGAGGAGGGGAGGCAGATTGAGGCAATAGAGGAAACCTCACAGGCCTGGGCTGGCCTTCTTTGAATCCTAAATACAGTAACTTTATTCCAAGGATCCTCTTATAAGGGTGTACAAATTCTTTTTGATTAAGGCAAAATATACATAGCTGCTTTGTAACAAAAATGTGGAAAATGAAATAAAAGCAACGAATGGCTCCACTGACCAATCTCCGCACCCCATGTAGTCAAGACAGTGATCATGTTACTATGATTTATCTCCACAAACCTGCACCACATGTATTCAATACTGCCTAAGACCTTAAGTTTACCAGAACCTTGCTAGATCTCTAACTCTAGGGACCTGACCACAAAAGCACTTGGGGGGTGGGAACCAATGTGCTAAGTCCTATTTGCCCCGCCTCCCAAACCCCCCTTGTATACAGGCACTTGCAGCTCCCACTATGCCCTCCTCCCCACCATATCCTCCCAAAAAGGGAGCTGGGTCTTCTGGGCAACGGGGGGGGGGGGGGGGGGGGGTTAGGGAAGACAAGGAGGAAAGGAAAAAAAGAAGGGATGGAATGAAGGAGTGGCTGTTTACTTAATAGAATGTGAGGTTTCTCACAGTCACAGTGGCCTATACCCCCAAAAACGCATCCAGGTGGGGGTAGGAAGGTGAAAAAGGGATGGGAAGAGCGGGGGAGGGAAAAGCGGGACTGAACAACAAAAAATTAAAAAAAAAAAAAAAAAAAAAAGTTGGTGTTACCATCTGGTGGGCTACAAGGCCTGTGTGAAATGAGGTGGGGAGGTCAGTCCAGGTCCCCGTGGACAGGTGGTGTCCACAGCACAAAAATCACCAGCGCCACAGGCCCCCCGTGTGTTGGCAGTCTCGGCTGAGGCGGAAGGATTGAGTGAGCCTTGGAGACTGAACATCCCCTCTCACCTCTAGAGGTGGTCCCTCCAGGTCAGGGTTGAGGCACATGGACGGGGTGGTGTGGGGAAAGCTCGCACTGTCGCTGCCTGTGCTGTACCTGTCCTGTGGATAAATAGAGGATTTCAGTCTCCAGGGCTGTCAATCCGGCACCTTGTCACCAGCATGAAATTCACAACAAAAAAAGTTGTTTATTTTTTTTCTTTTTTCCTTAAAAATGAGCTCACAACACAGATTTGAAACGAGCTGTAATCAGTAAATAATAAAAAAAGTTACCTAATGGCAGATGACACTGCACAATTGGGTTATTTCCAGTAAGACTGAAGGGTGAGATAATAGAGCTGATGCCAGATCTTGGTCACTGTAGAATTAAACTGAACCTCTACAGAGCCCACTTCGCCACAAAAGCCAGAGGTCCATCCATGGACATTGCATGAACTGATCCATTTATAAAAAGGCCCATGGGAATGACCCACGACAGGGCAACTCATGAAAGAAGAGGCAAGCTTTTAGAGGGCAGTTAACTGAATAAAGGGGAGGGAGGAGGGAAAGGAAGCAAAGAGGTACAAAGGGAGAGGAGTGACGGGGAGCAAAGGTAAAGGACAAGGAAAGACTGTAGTAGAGGGCTGGTGGTGACTCAGCACTGGAGAACCTAGTCCCATGGGAAAGGGTAACCCTCCTGGCTACAATGACTGAGCTGATGCTTATCCTGCCCAATACTTGTACTGACAGCCCTTTGACAAACCTGCTCATGCTAAAACAAAGTTCTAACACATCTCCAGATATCACAGAAATATGCCTACTTGTGAAAGCTCTCAGAAAGATATAAACTTGTTCATTTTTATTATTCAGTAAAGTCTGAGATGGACTCCAAGTTGATGCTTTCCGCTCTCAAATGGCTTTCAGACCAAATACAAATAAATGTAACTAGTTAAATATAGATGTTTTTAAATAGGACAGCCCCATGTGGGAAAGACACTTTAAGCAACATACCAAAGTGAAGATGACTATTTCAACCTGAATTCCAGTACTCTAAAAGCCTATTACTCAAGAGTAAATAAACACCAACCATCAAACAACTACATTAGTACCGTAACATTTATAAATGCTCTTCTCACACAATCCTAACTTTAGAATAACCCATGTGTCAAGAGAAATGGTTTAGGTTGGTGAGGAATAGAGGCACCAAGAGAATGTTATGATGGTGTTCTCATACTTGAGTGCAGCATGCTCTCCCCATCCTAACCGTGTATGTTCCTTTTACTCCAGCTGATTTCAATTATGCCATGGGGTTTCAAACCAGTGTTTATGAGGTTAAGAGTCTGGGGGATAACACACTGGAGTTTGGGGGTGAAAGGGTAGGAGTAGGGGAGGTGAGGTGAAGGGGAGGGAAAATTTGTAGGACACTCAAAGTTCAGGATCTTACCACCCATGCCCACATGTCACTTGAGATTACCATCCAGAATCTCCAGAGGTCCAACTTCTTTGCAATCATTACTCAGACCTCTAACATCCCACACATACAAAATTATGGATAGGATGGTGATATAGGAAGAAAAGTAATGACACTGAAGGAATTTAACTCTAGCCCAAACCACCTTAAGTTACCAAATCAATTACTCTTCTGAGTGTCTACAAAACTTCCACTGCCTGCTAAAAATAAAGTCTTGGCATTCAAAACTTTCTCCAGTACAAAAAAAGCAAATCAAACTACAGCCAAAAGTATAGGTTTTCAGCAAGCATGCAAAGTAGCTTGGTGTGCTGCTGGCAAAGTAGATTATTTAAAAGATAATCTTTGTTCATTCTAACCCACCAATAAAAATTCTCTTACCTGACCACCTGCAAAGATGACTGGAGAACTCGAGGGCTTGGGCCGGTACGGGATGGTCACGCCCTTCGGGGGGGACTGGGAGAGAGTCAGAGGGGAAAAAAACAAAGAGAGATAAGGTTTCAAAGCTGCTTCAGCTGTGTGGCTATAGCACACACAGGTCAGTTAAATAAAAATTATTTCCATCCCCTCCATTTATCGAATTGTACATGATTAGATGTTATTTAAAACATCTGACATTACTTTACTTGCCTTTAGATCAACAAGAAAGTTCATGAATTACATATGGCTCACACTAATTCACACCAATGATGTCCTGAAATTATTTGTCATTATTTCCACACTTGTAAATAAATTTAATTCACACACAGAAAATAATATGTAGATATACTGTAACTGGTAATTTTTAGAATCTCACATTTTGATATAAACAATAAAATCAAAGTTAGATATGAAATTTTCAAATGTTATGGTTCAAAGACACAAGCAAGAGCTTTTTCCTTTCTGATTCATTGCCACGTAACTCAAATCATTTAATTTCCCTTAATTTCTATATTAGCAAGACTTCATAATTCACTCAGAAACACCACCATTGCTACTTTTTCTATGATACACAACTATTGTTTTGACTATATCCTGTTTCAAAATGAAAAAAAATGTGTCAATGTCAAGCAATTCAAAAGATCAATTAGTGTTTCAGAAATCCAAGTCCTTGTAATCTTTTCTTACCCAGGATACTATAATTGTTCTGAACCACAAGACTACTTAACAGATTCTATTTTTGCTCACAGGCTGAGGTAAGTCAAAACTGGAAAAAGGAAAGTATGAACTCAGGAGAACTTTTACCCACCCTGACTGATAGCCATCAGTTTCCCCTTATTCTAGTCTCACTAAGTATATATAGATCAGTTCCTCTGTCCCCAGAATCAATCCCACCTCCAGCATGAGCCTGAGGGCTTACCTCCAACATGACCACGCAGATCTGTTTCACACACTCAATGATGGATTGTGGAATGCCAGCAATAGTGATTGCCCGCTCAGTTGAGTTAGGGAGCATATCCCCTGCCACCTGGACCTGAGCGCCTGTACTCTTTAAGGTAAAAGGAAATTAAAAATCAGAGAAAAACTATGTTCTTCAATTCCTCCCAATAGCAACTTTAAAATGTAATGTTCACTAGAAAATTACCCCCTTTCTTTCTCTTTTCCCAATCTTCTCATCACCCATCTTTCATACTCTTATTGAGCAATCCTATTCTGTGTGTGAGGCACTATCCCAAGATTTAAAATACATCATCAGGGGCTGGAGAGATAGCTCAGAGGTTCTTCCAAAGGTTCCGGGGTTCAATTCCAAGCACCTGTCTGGTTGCAGGGGATATGGCAGACTCAACAACATACATATAGTCAAAACACCAATGCACACATTTAAAAAAAAAGATACACGGACTATAAAATAAGACATATCATCAAAACAAAATCTCAAACTAGTTGCTCACAACTATAATCTCTGAAGCTGAAATGGAAGGACCATCTGGCCAGGCTGGGATACAGTGAGAGACCATTGCAAAAAGCAAACAAAAAACCTCCCCATGCTATACTATCCATCCTGTACAAAAACAAAATAGTTTCCCTTTGGAATCACTTAGTGCTTTTCATTCAGACACGAAAAATCTTCATGGTAAGTTGATAAAGAAGCTTGGGTGAGGGCTGGAGAGATGGCTCAGAGGTTAGGAGCACTGGCTGCTCTTCCAGAGAATTAGGTCAAGTTCCAGCACCGCACATAGGAAATGAAAACTGTCTATAACTCCATTCTAGGGGATCTGGCTCCCTAATAAAGGACATACCTATAGGTTAAACACCATTACACATAAAATGATAGACAGGCAGGCAGATATAGACACAGACATACACACACAAAGTAACCAGATCCTGATGAAATGATAAATGGCAAAATGATAAGAGAAATGGAGAAAAGAGACTGTCTTTAAAAAAATATATATATATGTATACATATATACATATATACACATACATATATATGAGAGAGAGAGAGAGGTTATATAAGTAGCCAAGAGGCCAGCAAGAAATGCTTGCTGCCAAACCTAACAACCTAAATTCAATCCCTGGAGGACACCCTTGGTGTTAAAAAAAAAAAAAAAAAACAAGTTGCCATCTGAAAGCACACACTAACATACACAGATAAAATGTGATTTAAAAGTTTTAGGCAGGCATGATGGTACACACCTTTCACCTTTAGTACCACCATAGGTGATCTCTGTGTTCAAGACCAGCCTGGTCTACAAAGTGAGTTGGAGGCCAGTCAGGGCTACACAATGAAACCTAGCCTGAAAAACTAAATTACTGTTTTAAAGTGCTGGAAAAATGGCTGAGTGGTTAAGAGCACCTGTTGCTCTTGCTGAGGACCTGGGTTTAGTTCTCATCACAAACATATCACTCACAACCATCAGTAACTCCATTTCAGGAGCTTCAACTATCTTCTGAATTCCAATGACAACTGGTATATAGGTAGTGTACATACATACATACATGTAAGCAAAAAGCTCATACATATATACATATATATATATAAAATAAGTAAACGTTTTTATTATTTTAGGATTAGAGAAAAGGCTCTACTGTGTACAGCTTCTATTTTTCTTACAGATAATCTGAATTAATTTCCTAGACCCATGTGCATGTCTGGCTCACAACCACCTGAAATGCCAGACAGCCCCAGGGAATCCAAAACCCTCTTCTAGGCTCCAAAGCACCTGCACTTCCATGCAAAGAGTCACTCAGAGATGTATAGACATTATTAAAAATAAATCAACCCAGGCTTGGTGGCTCATGACTTTAATTCTAGCACTTAGGAGGTAGAGGCAAGAGGGTCTAAATCTGAGATCAGCCTTGTCTACAGAGCGAGTTCCAAGAAGCTGGGGGGGGGTTGCAAAATAGATAAATTTACAAACTAAATAAAGTTTAGTGGTTCAGTAGATAAAAGAAAAGCAATTGCTACTAAAACTACCAACCTGTGTTAGATCTCAGTGAACCCACATGGTAGAATAAAACTGATTGCCATACCACAAGTTCTCTGATCAGTATGCATGCATGTATGCATGTGTGCTTAAATATGTACTAATAATAAGGGTGGGGGCTGGAGAGATGGCTCAGTCTGTGCTTGCAAGCACAGAACCAAGAACACATAAAAAAGCTTGGGAAGGGGCTGAACAGATGACTCAGAGGCTAAGAGCACTGACTGCTCTTCCAGAAGATTCAGGTTGCTCAGCACCCACATAGCAGCTCAGAATTCTCTGTAACAACAGTCCCAGGAGACCCAACACCCATGGCAAAACACCAATGCACATGAAATATAAATTAAAAAAAAAAAAGGCTGGGAAGACAGGAGAATCGAAGGGACTTAAGTGAACAGTTAGACTAGAAAAAATCTGTTTCATGGGGAGAAGAAAGGAACTAAATGGTACATGGAACCCAACACCCAAGAAACAGATGCAGACAGATCTCTCAATTCCAGGCCAGTCAGACCTTGTCTCAAAAAAGAATAAATGAACCAGGCTTGGTGGTCCCAGAACTCAGGAGGCAGACAGATATCCTTGCGTTCTAAGCTAGCCTGGTCTACAGAGCAAGTTCCAGAACAGCCAAGGCTACAGAGAAACCCTGTCTTGAAAAAAACCAACCCCCCCCACACACAAATAAAAAAAACGCAAAACTAAAATAAATGGTATCTATATGCAAAGTTAGAAATTCTACTTAACACTCTCATATTCTGACTATTAATGAACGAGGGAAAGATTATATGTTGTTTTAGGTTCTTGGGAGGTTGAGACAAGATTACTAGTACATTTAGAAGTTATAAGCTAGTAGCACAGCAAAGACTACATCTATAAAAATAAAGGGGGTTAGGGAGTAGTGCACAAGGATGTACTAAATGGGGAAGCATCCCCCTAACATTTGTGACACCCACCTTGGACACATAAATTGAAATATGATGGATTGTGGTTTTTTGGTTTTTTTTTTTTTAACACTTTTAAGTCCAGTATCATACTACAGTCTTCATGGACTGCTAATCATGTCGGGGAAATCACTATCAGGGCACAGGGCTGGAGAGATGGCTCAATAGTCAAGAACACTAGAGCCTGGTATTCCAGAGGTATTAAGTTCATTTCTTAGGAACTACATAATGGGTCACAACCACCTGTAATGCGATCTTGTGCCCTCTTTCTAGCCTACAGGGATTCCTGCAGAGTACTGTATATATAATAAATCTTTAAAAAAATAAATAAATAAAAAATAAAATCTACCCAGCAGTGGTGGTACACGCCTTTAGCCCCAGAAACCCAGAGGCAGGTGGACCAGCCTAGTCTACAAAGCCTCCAAAGCCACAGAGAAACCTGTAGTGGGATATTCACTTTGTCTCCTTCTGTGGCACTGACCACACATTGGGGGGTGGAGCCAGGGGAGGAAGTGACCTGGGGAACTAAGTCGGAGGAGGCACGGGAGAGTGCTCTCCGCATGGGGACAGGAGGACTTGCATGGGGACAGGAGGACTTCTGGAGGAATTCTTGGAAGCAGGAACCTGTTGGTGTTCACCTGTCTAAGTTGTGAGTTATTTCTCCCTGAATAAACATCTGTTCGGCCTAATTGTTTATCCTGATCCTTATTAAACCGTGATAGAAACCCTATCTCAAACAAAAATAAAATCAAGGGCCACAGATACAGTGTACCACTGTACCCAAATCAGAACACCCCATTTTAATCCCACTTTTCTTTAAAAGGAGAGGGATTTGCGTATCTGTGGCTGACTCTTTTGCCTATGACTCCAAGTGGTGGGATTATTAAAGGCATGCACCACCATACCTAGCTCCAATCTTGTGTTTTTTTTATAAAGGGTCTCCTAAATTGCCCCAGTAGGCTGGCCTTAAACTTTACAGAAAGGCCAAAACCGGAATTTGCAGTCCCCTATGTAACTAAGATTACAGACCTGAACCACCACCAAGCCCAGCTTAAACCTTCACATGAAATGTTAACCTTTTCTAGCCATAACACAATCTGCTATGGGTATGATGGTACACCCATTCAGGGGGCAGAGGCAGGAGGTTCTCATAGAGATTCTTGTCTAAACAGGCCAAACCAAACTGACGCTGGGGGGTGGCAGGGCAGAGAGACACAGAACACAACATAAGACAAACCAACCTCTCTTATTTCCTTGATCTTGCAACCACCTTTCCCAATGAGAGAGCCACACTGACTGGCAGGAACCACCAACCGTAAGGTGACAGGAGGTCTACTGGCAGCTGTGCTATTAGTCATAGAGCTGCTTATGTCCTGTAAAGAGAAGAAAACTCAGAACCCTGAAAAGATAAATTAAGCATACATACACACGTACAGTTTAAAAGTATGTAAAAGAATCATGCTTGGACTTGTAAGGAATATTGTAAGGAACATACATGTATAACTATACCACACTAAGTAAAGATTAAAATTTCTGAGCCCAATATGGTAGCACTGCCTATACTCCAGCACTCAGAAAAAAAATTAGATACAGGGTTACAGGCCAGGAGACAATCAGTCCTTAAAAACAAAACAGGACTGAACAACTTGCTCATTGGTATAATACTTAACCTAGGAATGGATCCCTTGCAGCAACACAAAACAGAAATTGCAGAAAGAGCCATGTTATTTTTCTTCACCAAAAAAAAAAAAGCAACACTACTAACAAGCTGAGTTGACCTAGCATTTGGATTACAACTGTAACTTAGTAGGAAACCATCTGTCTAGCATGCATGAAACCAAAGGTTCTAATCCCAGTACCTAAAATGTTTTTTTGAGAGTATAGAGTTAAAGGACTCAGAAATGGCTCAGTGGATAATGAAAGCTTGCAGTACAAAATAAGGAATCCCAGTACTCGGGAAGCAGAGGCAGGTGGATCTCTGTGAGTTTAAGACCAGCCTGGACAACAGAGTTACAGAGCAAGTTCCAGGACAGGCTCCAAAGATACAGAGAAACCCTTTCCCAAAAAATAAAATGAAACAACAACAACAACAACAACAACAACAAAAAAAAAAACAGCATATATTTCTATTCTGGAGTAACAGGGCCCTACAGTTCAAAATACAACATTTCCAACCTGGACAAGGATAAGATTTTAGGGAGCACTTTTCTGCCTTTGGTATCAAAGGCACAATGAAGTGGCATTACTGCAAGGAGGAGGAAGAGGAAACTGAACACATGACCTAGGGTAGTTGTTCAGTCTTTGAATGTCGGTAGAGAAAAAGAACTTCCTTCTAACATAATCAGTAATCCTTATTTTGCTTTTAGAAACCTCTTTTAATAAATACAATATGATCAGTATCTGCCAATACATAGTTTAAAATGCAAAATGTACTGGTGTTCAACAGGATCCTAATAAAAACCACATTAAGTTCATTCAACTGTAAAACTATCAAGGATGCAATGGTATACTTTCAAAAACAATTAGTGAGAAAAATTTAAAAGACAAAGTTGGAAAGGGTGACAGACATTCCTATGTAATTCCAACAGGTAGGAAAGTGACAGAAGTGTCGAAGAACATCTTGGACTACTAGTAGTGCAAGACTTAAAAAATGAGACACTTATCAATACATAAAAATACCAAAATAAAACCACCCAAAAGGGGGAGGGAAGGGTAGAGAGAGATGGCTAAGCAATCAAGAGCACTGCTGCTCTAAAATGCTCTTCCAGAGGACCAACGTTCAATTCCTAGCAATCACATGACAGTTCATACCCATAACTCCAGCTACAAGGATTCTGATACCCAAACACAGACATAAAAGAGCAACACTACCAATAAACATAAAAATAAATAATGCATTAAAAAAAAGATCAGGCTGGGCATTGGTAGCACATGCCTTTAGTCCCAGCACTCTGGAGGCAGAGGCAGGCAAATCTCTCTGAGTTTTAAGCCAGCCTGATATAGAGTGAGTTCCAGGACAGGCTCCAAAGCCTGTCTCAAAAAACCAAAAAAATAAGATAAAATAAAATAAAATAAAGAAGGCAGTGGTGAGGGTATAGCTCATTTATTTAACAAGCCTTTGGGGTTGGTGTTGTTTTGTTTTATGCCTGATATGGGACAGAAGAGGCAATCCTAAAAAAACAAACCTCTTCCAGTTTGTCAATGATCATAGCAAAAGCTTTGAAGATGGCATTAGTCGGTCCAGCCAAAGTGATAATTCTCTCAGGACAATTCCCTTCTGAGATGTTGATCCGTGCACCACTCTGGATAAGAAAAAGAAACAAAGAATTTTAATAGATAAAAAGAATTGAAATTATACAGGATAGCCCATCTGAGAACAGAGGCAAGAAGCTGCCTACATAAAAGATTTCAAATACTGTTCCGCTTGTTTTCAACTTACTACATCTTATGTTTTTGGGACTTTTCACAAAACTCATTTCCTTACCACACTATTTGTCATTATGAATTTACCATAAATGCTTTTCTCTTTTGAGCTCTACTCTGTAATCTCTCACACAGAACTTTTTCAGAGTTTTCCAAGTCTAGCAAATCCCTATGTTCCTTGTAACTCACCTCCTCGCGCATCTTCTTAACAGATTCTCCTTTCTGTAAGAGGAAAAGTCAAGCATGAGCTCCAACTATTTCAGCCTCAACTGACTAAATAGTAATTAGAGTTGAAGTGAAACTCTCTTACCTTTCCGATGATACTGCCAACTTCCTGAAATGAAGAAAACTAAATATTGGTACAACAGGAAATTTAGAGTTCATCATTATGAAAAGAAAATTCTAAGTGTTCAGCTATCCAACTGCTGTGATAATTACCAACCCAAAGAAATAAAAGGCTTTTAAGATTCATGGGGGGGTAGTACTTATTCATTTCCCTGTACAAAGTTCATACAAATATATCAAAGACTCATCTGAGTGATTAAATACCATACCTTTGTGTAATTTGCAAAATGAGGCTTAGGGATACCACTCAATGGTAGTGTTTGCCTTAAGGCCCTCAGTTCAATCTCCCATACCACCAAAAGGCAGAACAAAAATCCCCCTTTCTGAAATTGTAAGAATTATAAGAATGTTTTACCAGCCAGCTAGGACTGTTTTTTGGCTCTAACTGCTTGTTAAGTCCTTCTTGCTCACTGAGGCTTCCTAGTAAAAGCTGTCCATTTTTCACCACATTCCATTACAGAAGAGTGCTAAAGCCAGATGTCCCACAGTGCTAATCTGATGAGCTCCAAGATGCTTGTCTGATTTTCCTAGCCACTCCCCTAGCAGTTACTATGACCCAATTTTCCAACCTGGTGCATACCTTTCCATGCATAAGTAGCCTGATGGTGAGAGTGACATTTAATCCACCTTCAATCACACCGGTGTCCATGTCTACTAGTAACAGGGAGCTGGACTTGGAGTGGTCAAGTCTTTGGTCACTGGTGGGAGTGAAAGCCAAAACTGAAATATAAGAATGACCAAAATGAGAAGGGGGCAGGGAAAGAGAGTAATTCTTTTTCAGTTATTTTCACTTCACCATTTCCACCTTTATCTAATTGACTCTTTTCCTTTAAGTGTCAGCCTATCAGGCTTGTAAATATAGACATCACAACTTCATAACACTTACAGATCAGGTTTTGTTTCTAGTTTTCTCATTAATGATAGGGTTTCCACTGATGATTGAGATGAGAAAGATTCATTCCTTCCACTGGCAATGGTTCTAAGGGAACTTTTAAGTGCTAGAAGTTGTATTTCAGCTGAGTACATTTTGAAAAGGACTGAAAAACAGCTGAACAAACTTTACTATACAGTAAGGGCAAATTCAGCTTCTTCCTGCTAGGCAGCAATTGAAACTGAAGGTAGAGAATATATGTAAATGTTCTTAGAGTTAACAATTTTTCAATCTCTCAAAATGTTGGATATCACCAAAAAATTTTAAAATCATTTTGTTCAGATCTGCGTAGGGTGGTACATTACTATATTACTCTCAGCACTTGAAAGGGTCTGACAGGATTGCTCTAAGTTCAAAGCCACCATAGGCAAGGTATTGAGAGCCAATTCAGCTGCCAGGACTACAGATTGAGACAGTCAGAAAATAACAAGAAAAATAATTTAGTCCAGGAGTCTCACTGGGAAGAGGGGAAAAAAAAAAGCATTGTCCAAGATACATTCCACAGCTGAGCAGGTTCCATATTCCTTTGAAATCTGATTCTGTTATCTCAATTCTTTTCTCCCATTCTCTCACTCTTATCAATGAGATTTTCCTTGCTTGTCCTTTTATATTAATTTTGACTACCACACACCTCTAAAATCTTTTAAAATTTAAGTTTTCTTCCAAATACAATAAAAATCAAACTGGTAGTGGTAAAATTTTACTTCATATTTGTGTCATTACCAGGATGGTCCATGTACTCATCCTCTAAAACTTTGGAATAACTACTTGTATAACAGAGAATTTGGATATTTGGATTTTGATGTTTTTGCCTTTATAACACTGACAGTTTCAAGAGTCATGTTTTCAAGGAGTCCTGAAGTTTCTCCAACAGCATGTCAAGTATTCATCCCTTCGTTTCAGTATTAATGATTTCTCTTAATTTTTTACCTTCAAAACACCAGTCTTCATTTTGTTCTGTACACAATCCCCATACCTTTAAGGTTTTTTTTTTTTTTGGTTGTTGTTGTTTGGAGACAGGGTCTCACTATGTATGTAGCTCAGGACTGAATGGAACTGGCTAAACACCATGTTGGCCTCCAAACTACAAGACCCACCTGCCTCTGCATCCCAAATCCAAGCCCTAAACATTTTGAGAGCACTAAGAGTGGCTGTCACACCACTCTGTTAATGGCAAAGTGTCTTCTGGTTACTTCAGGATGGTTAAGTGATTATATAAATGCAAGCCCAAAGCACAGTCCCCTACTTCTAAAAAACAGTTACTTGCTGTCAAAAAACCTCACTCGTGGAAAAACAATGCTTATTGGTTAAAGATTAATTTTCCCCTTAAATATACCGAATAAACTGGTAGCTTTAATTCCGTAACCCTACTAAAATGTATTAACCATTTTTCAATTACATTAATACAAGTTCAAAGGGACAAGAAAACATATCTACAAAGCCACTCAAGTAAAACACTAGAATGCATATTTTTTTTTTAATTCCAATCCCTCTAATACGAGAAACCTCTATGTCTTCCTCTCCTGAGTAGGTCAATCTAAGTGTACCCCATCCCGGGAAGCCAGCTGTTAATCCTGCAGTCAATTACCCCTCTATAAATAGCTCGGTCTGGTTTATAGCGGCAGGCATTTTGTAATTTCAAAATTCGTTACCCGAGAGAACGTCAGAGTAACTCGGTAACTGGGAGTCTGCCTACTCTTTAACTCTGCAGCCCCCACACCCCTCCCCCCGCCCTGGTCATCTAAGCATTTTCCACTTTAAAAAAAAAAAAGCCCCCCCCTTCTAGTCAAGAGAAGGGGGGAGGAAATAAACGGTTCGGTCAGGGGGGGGCGCTGCGACCCAGGGGGAGGGGCCGGACAAGTAGCGCCTCCTCGTGTGGCTGCGCCAGCGCCTGACCCCCGCGGGGAGCCGCGCTCACCCTCCCGGCCAGCAAGGCGGCCATCGCCTCCCCCACCCCCCTCAACCAACAAATCCACCGCCGCCCCCCCCCGCCGCCGCGCGCGCGCCCTCCCTGACTCCTGCGCAGCCGCCACCGGGAAAAGGCGGGGGGAGGGGGGGAAGGAAGGCTTTGCGCGAGGCCTACTAGGCCGCGCCAGAGCCAGGGCCTCGCGTGAATGGACGGGCAGGAAGAGAGAAGTAGTGGACGCTCAAGCGGGACTACGAAAGGCCGAGGCTCCAGACTAGAACGGGAGTCCTTCGAGAAAGATGACATGAATGGAGACAGAAGCTATTGCCGGGGGCGGAGGAGCAATTTTTAAGCTTACCTGGAGGCGCGAGTCGACTGAGGGGAAAAGGGGAGCGGGCGGGAAGGGGAAGGGCGGGAGGCCGGGGGCGGAACAATAGGGGCGGGCGGGAAGGCGAGGGGGGCCCCGCTAGCGGGCGGAGGAGGGGGGGGTGGAGGAGGAGGAAGGGGGAAAGAGACCCCGGGGCGGGTGGAGGGCGGCGGAGGGCGGGCGGGCGGAGGGCGGGCGGGCGGGCGGGAGAGGGCGCAGGCTGCGGCTGCTCCGGCTGCTGCCTCTGCTGGTCTGGGAGGGGGACGGGGCGGAGCGGGCCGCTTTCAACCCCGCGCACCCTTCGACCCCGGAAGCGCTAACCGCCCCGGGGGCCGGCGAGTCGACTGCGTCGTCCACACCTTCCCCACGCAATACGGACGGCCTTCCCGTAGCCTAGAGCGGCTCCTCGGACAGCGTCGGCACCAGCGAGACGACCGCTGGTAACCAACTGTGAGTTGTGTGATAGAGCGGCAGCATTGGGGTGCGGAGAAATCTAGTGGCCTCTAGCGGGCGAGCTGGGAAGCTCAGGCCAAAAGTGCGAATTAAGGTGGCCATCTCCAGGGATCAAGAACAGAAGAGGAAAAGGGATAGGAAGGAAAGGAAAATACAGTTGTCAATAAAATAAAATAGCCCTCATAGCCAGGATGAAAACAACACACTAACTCCTTATTCTAAAAACAATAACCCTGTTTAGTGAATGCAGAATAAATGAAAACATCAACTATTCTGCAGCCTAGAATGTCGAGCCAGGCAATAAAAATTATAATGAAGAATTGAATTTAAGATGTTCTTAAACCCAAAGGTAGTGGCGCACGCATTTAATCCCAGCACTGGAGAGTGAGAGGCAGGCCGACCTCTGAGTTCCAGGCCAGCCTGGTCTGCAGAGCAAGTCCCAGGACAGCCAGGGCTACATAGAAACTGTGCCTTTAAAATAAAAAGGGCAGGCGTTGATATCGCACACCTTTAATCCAAGCACTCGGGAGGCAGAGGCAGGAGGATCTCTGTGATTTCGAGAGCATGGTCTACAGAGCAAGTTCCAAGACAACCTCCAAAGCAATACAGAGAAACCCTATCTCAAAAAAAAAAAAAAAAAAAAAAAAAAAAAGGAAGAAAGAAAGAAAGAAAAGGAGGAGAAAAAGATTCTAAGATGTTCTTATGGAATAGTACTAAATATCTGTCACACAGACTATTTTCAAACTGTACAATAATAAAGTAACTTTAAATAAAAAGGTCTAATGAGTTACCACCTTAACCAAGTTAGCAATCAAATTTCACTACTATTACAACTTTGATAATGTGAGATCCTTGACGAGGTATGAGGTGTATCTATTATACTATATTTCTTGAATAGAATTTCTGCCAAAAACGGTTCACCTTGTTACTAGATCTAATCTGCCTTTAATCCCAGAATTTGGGAGGCAGAGGCAGGGAGATCTCTTGAGTAGGAGGCCCAAACCTTATCTGGGTGGGGGAGGAAAAAAAAGAAGGGTTGGAGAGATGGCTCAGAGGTTAAGGGCACTGCTCTTCCAAGGGTCCTGAGTTCAATTCCCAGCAAGCACATGGTGGCTCACAACAATCTACAATGAAATCTGGTGCCCTCTTCTGGCCTGCATGCATGCATGCAGACAGAACACTGTAAACATGAAAAATCAATCTTTAAAAAAAAAAAGGAAGGAAGAAAGAAGATAGTCTTCAGACAAACACAGTAAGTAATGCACTGGAAGCTAAGGAAGACAATGGTGACTCACAGAACATCCTGGAATGCATAGCAATGCTATTTTGTTGTTGTTCCTTGGATTTTTTTTCTTGAAAACCCAGAACGTTGCACACTCCACAACTATCTGGATTCTTTAAAAAGGCAATAAACTTTTAAATGTTTATTTTAACTCATGCATGGGTTTTTGTCTGCATACCACATGTGTGCTTTCCAGAAAAGGGAGTCAAAGCCGCTGATACTGGAATTACAAATGGTTATGAGCCATCATGTGGGTACTAGAAACTGAACTTGCAAGAACTGCAAGAACAGCAAGTACTCTTAACCCCTAAGCCATCTCTCCAGCATGCAGTAAATGTTTTAAAACATTATCTTGTATCTGTATACACAAACTAAGTTTATATGCATCCACCACAGCATGAGGAAATCAAAGGGTGACTTTTAGGAGGGGCTAGTTCTCCCTCAGCCTGGAAATCAGACTCAAGACATCTGGCTTAATGGCAAATGTCTTTCCCACCTTGCTGAGCACTGACTGCTCTTCCAGAGGATCAGAGAATCCATCTCCAAAATCAAATAAGGGTCTCACACTGGCTATAACTCCAATTCCATATGTAGTGACCTCTTCTGTACTCCTCAGGCACTGCATGCAAGTGGTGCACATATATGGCAGGCAACACACACATTTTAAAAAAAAAAAACATAAATCTGTCAGGAGTGGTGGCACATGCCTTTTATTGCAGCAGATCTGCTTGCAGTCAGTCTGGTCTATATATAGCAAGTTCCAGGACAGCCAGTACTACATAGTAATATGTATACATTACATGTATATGTGTACATATAATACAAAGTAATAATTTGCTGCTCTTACAAATAAGCCAAGTTCATTCCCTAGTAGATGGCTTACAATTCCCTGAAACTCCATCTTCTGGGATCTGACGACCTCTTCTGGACTCAAGGGCATCTATGCTCTAATGTGTGCATAACCACCATACAGATATACACACATACACATAAATATCTTTTTTGTTGTTGATTTTGTTTTGCATGCTTTTTGAGAAAGGGTTTCTCTCTGTAGCCTTGGCTGTCCTGGAACTGGCTCTGCCTCCCCAGTGCTGGGACTAAAGGTATGCACCACCACCTGGCCACCACTGCCATTTCTAAAGTGGGTTTTAATCCCAGCACTTTTGAGGCAGAGGAAGGCAGATTTGTGATCAAGGCCAGTGTGGTCTATACAGGGAGTTCCAGGCCAGCCAGGGCTACATAGTGAGGCCCTCTCTTTAAAAAAAATAAACAAGGGCCAATGGATCTTTTCTGGACTCTGTAGGCACCAAGGATGCATATAGTACACAGAAATATATGCAGGTTGCTGGGCATTGGTGGCAAACGCCTTGAGTATCTGAAAACACCCTCTCTCAAGAAAACAAATGAGCCAGTATGTGGTGTCCCACACCTGTAATCCCAGAACTGCGCAGGCAGAGGCAGGAGGATCTCTGTGAGTTTGAGGATAGCCTGGTCTACAGAGTGAGTTCCATGACAGCTAGAGCTACATAATAGACCTGTTTTGAAAACAAAACAAAAACAAGCCAGGCAGTGGTGATGGTGGCAGTGGCACAAGCCTGTAATCAAACCACTCTGGAGACAGAGGCAGGCAGATCTGTTTGAGGCCTGGCTGGTCTACAGAGTGAGTTCAAGGCCATCGAGAGCTACATAGTTCATTAGAAAAATAAAAACAAACTGAGCAGTGGTGGCACGTACCTTAATCCCAGCACTCAGGGTTAGAATGGGGAAGCAGAGGCAGGCAGATCTCTGTGAGTTCAAGGCCAGCCTGGTCTACAGAGTGAGTTCCAGGACAGGCTCCAAAGCCACAGAGAAACCCTGTCTTGAAAAAGAAGAAAGAAAGAAAGAAAGAAAGAAAGAAAGAAAGAAAGAAAGAAAGAAAGGAAGGAAGGAAGAAGGGAAAGAGGGAGGGAGGGGCAAAGGAGGGAGGAAGGGAGGGAGGGAGGAGAAAGAGGAAGGGAGGGAGGGAGGGAGGGAGGGGAAAGAGGAAGGAAGGAGAAACAGTCTCCAGCTCCTCACTGCACGGGAGCGGTGCCTTCTCTCTAAGCTTCCTGTAGATGATGCCTATTATTCTTTATCAACTTTATTACATCTGGGATTAACAAAAACCCAAGCAGTAGGGTACACCTGTAAGGGTTATTCTTTTCTTAATTAAATCATTTGAAATGGGAAGAAATGGGAAGATGTACTTTTTTTTTTTCCTGGCCTAACTCAGAGATCTACCTGCCTCTGCCTCCCAAGTGCTGGGATAAAAGGTGTGCCCTGCCAGCACCACCACCAGCCCCACCCTGACCCAGCAAGACCTACTTTTAATCCAGGTCTTTTAAGGCAGGAAGACCCACTTTTAACCTGCTCCATACCTTCTGGTGGAAAACTATATACAGAATATGGAAAAAGAAAGCTTTCTCTCATTGCCTGGCAAGTCCATTCCTTCACTAGCATTAGAGCCTACTTCAGGATTCTGGTGTATACTGAAATCCATCCAGCTTTATGGACTGAACAAGTACTGGATTCTTCAGTTGGTAGACAGCCATTGTTTGACTAGACTAACTGGACCACAGCCTATAAGCCATTCTAATAAATTCAATAATATCATATTTTTCTATACTAGAGAACCCTGACTAAAACACTAATAAAATACTTTCTAAATTGAAAAAAAAAACAAAAACAAAAACAAGCAAACCTGGGCTGGGGAGCCAAGTTACTAGAATGTTTACCTACATACACAAGGCCCTGGGTTTAGGCCCAGCATTGTATAAAAACAGGCATGCTGGCACATCTGTAATCCCAGCCCTGAGTAGAAACAGGAAGATATCAATCCTTGGCTACATAATAAGCTTGAGGTTTGGGCTACATGGGACCATCAACTAGTTTTTTTGTTGAAAATTAAGCCAGGCAGTGGTGCCTCTAATTCCAGCACTCAGGATGCAGAGGCAGCTGGATCTCTGAGTAAGAGGCCAGCCTTGTCTAAGACAGTCAGGGCTACACAGGTAAACCCTGTCTCAAAAAAAAAACAACAAATATGGAGAACCCTGTCTCAAACCCCCCCCCAAAAAAAAAAAAGTGTGGTAATGGAGAGACTGCTCTTCCAAAGGGCCTAAGGTTGATTGATTCCCAGAGACTCACAAATGGTATGTAACTCCAGTATCAGGGGAATCCCATGCCCTCTTCTGGCCACCACAGGAGCTGCAGGCATATAGTGCACAAACACACAAAGACCAAACACATACATATATATACACGTGTGTATATATATATTATATGTAATATGTACATATATATTACACACACACATATATGTATGTGTATATATATATATCTTATTCATTAGGGCAGAACCACAATTTCTCCCTTAAACTGATAAGCAGCCAAAGACTGAAGACCTCTATAGTCTGGGCATGGAGACATACCGTGAGTTCTGGTCTAACCTGTTCTACATATTGTTCAGTTCAGGTCAGCCACGGATAGGATACCTTCTGAGACCCTGTCTTGAAGAAAACCTCTGTAGCAAGTGAAAATATATGCTATTGTTGGACAGTGGTAGCACACACCAATACTCCCAGAACTCAAGAGGCATAGAGGCAAGAGGATCTCTGAGTTTGAGGCTAGCCTGAGCTACAGAGACAGTTTCAAGACAGTCAGGGCTCTACAGTAGTGTCCTCCTCACTGATGTGCTGGCTCACTATTAAAAATGACACCAGGCTGGGGATGTAACTCAGGTGGTAGAGTGCCTCCCTAGCAAGCACAGGCCGAGCTCAAGCCCATAAGCAGGGTGTGGTGGCTCAAGCTTGTGATCCTAGCACTCGGAAGGTAGAAACAGGAGGATCAATACAGCAAGGTAACTCTGGACTACTCAGTGAAGCCTGGGTAGTTAGTATGAAAATCTCAAGGGAAGACACACTTTAAAGGGTCTGACAAAGAGTACCAAAAGTATCCCAGGGTCTTGAGCCCAGTCAAGGTAATGGCACAGGTAAGCAGAGACCAGGAGAATAGCTTTTATTTGGACTTCACGCCATCTGAGATAACATACTGAACTAAGGAATAGACGAAGTTCCAAAGGAGCTCATGAAGGTGACTCTCCTTCACAGTAGCTTTGCAGTTATTGCAATCAATAAACTGCCCGCTGGAACATAGTTGCCACTCAATCACTCTAATGTGGCATCATTACAAAAGTACATGATTTTGATAATAAATTTTCACAAACCCCGGTCACAAGCATTACAAAAGAAAATGAAAAATATCCCATGGCACAGATCTTAAAACTGTCTTCACCATTTAGCTCAGAGTTCTCACCACCAGACAGTTCCCCTGCTGACCTCATCAACTATAACATCAAGCAGGGACAAGGCAGCTTTTGCCAGCCTGTGGCAATCTTCTTCCCATTCTCCCTAGACAGCAGGGGAAGGCACAGGTAGAGGGGGGTGGGGAGCAGAGGGCTAATCTCCCTCAGTACAAGGTGCCAGCTGAAGCTTGATGGAAGAGTGGAGCTGGTGAGACTTGAGGGGAGGAGGGTCCAGGCCCTGCATTCAGTCAGAGTCACTGCTGGAGGAGGAGGAGGAAGAGGAGTGCTGCAAGGGGAAAGGACATAGCATCAGATGCAAATGGCCTGCCATCATTCATTCCAAGGCCATTCTTTGATGTCCCACCCTTCCACCCAAGTATCTAGAAGGCTGGAGTCTTAGCCCATCCTACCCCATAACCAACAAAATCAAGGGTTTTCTTCAGCAGGGAGCATACAGGAACAGATTAAACTGTCCTCCACCGCTGCACAGAACTGAACATGTTTTTGCCTTCAGATGGAGTTTCTCGCTTTCCACACCTAGGCAAGGCCAGGAATATGGAATAAATAAGCATAGCACCACTCTATAAAACAGCTGCTACCTTATAAATACCTGTTGATTGGCTGCAAGTAAGGATGATCTATCACAAATTAGAATCTATGCCCCTAAGAGAGGGTAGAAATTCAGGAGCAGAGGTGTGGGTAGTGCTGTACCTCTAAACCTCACCAGGGAGGAACTTGGGGAAAGTGGGAGAGACAGATTGACTGGAGATATCCCATCCAAGGACCCATACAGACACCTCTACCAACTACCACTAAAAACATTTTTAGACTCTACAGGGTTTTCTCCTTCATTTAGTTTCTTATTTGCTCCTCACATCTCTACCAAAGCCCTGGAATAGGAACTAGAGCCAGAATCCACAAAGCAAACATTGGGCATAAAATCTAACTGAAGCTTGGAGACCCAGGTAGGTCCTCTCCTTCCCAAGTCCTCAAGGAAACTTCTCCTAACTTCCCTAATAATAATTAGCATTCCTGTAGAAGGAAGACAAAACCCTTTTACTCCAGGGTTTGTTGGAGGCTGAGTCACAGAAGAAACACCTAGGTAATTAATAACACCCTGGAAATACTGAAGGAGACAAAGGAAACCCTAGAACTAAGTCCATGTTTACCATTCTGTTAATCATTATGTGTGGTTTTGCTTTGTCAAAAGACTCACTCAATTGGCAATTAGACAACCTCAGGGGTAGTGTCCAACTTGCCAAAAGATACACCTGGAGGATCTTGGGTTGGGGGTGTTTCTGGGAAAGAATTAGGCTGAGAAGGGAGAGGAGTCTTGGTTCCAATATCCTCCAATACTTCACTTTTCCTTTTCAGAAATAAGAGAGATCTGATGCCTCAATATTAGTATTACATTCCTATCAGGAGGATTCCTTTACATAAAGGAAAAGTCACCTGCCAAATTAATGTGACTGCCATCTCCCATTCCCACAAACCGTAAGGCCCTTCCCCAACTACCCCTCACCCCAGTCCCTCTGATGGACACTCCTTCCCAAGCCAGGCTCCAAAGAAAACTTACCTTTCCATGCTTGTGTTGTTTGTGCATCTTTTTATGAGCTTTCTTCATTTTCTTCCGTGTCTTCTTGTCTATCACCATTCCTGGGCCTACCATGCCAGGAGCCAAAGGATTCACTGGGCACATGCCAGGAGCAGGTGGTGGGTATGGAGGAGGGTAGGGCCCTGAGGGTTGGTAACCTGGACACCCTGGTTGTGGTACAGGATAAGGAGGGCGACATGGAGGAAAAGCTGGGTTTCCCTGAGGTATTCCTGGAGGACAGGGGCCAGGAGGGAAGGCAGGGTTAACAGGTGGTGGACAGGCTGGGTTGGGACCTCCTGGGCACATGGCTTGGGGTGGATATGGGTTAGGCCCTGGAAAAAGAACCAGAGAATAAAGTTTAGAAATTTCCAAAACCTCTGTCAACAAATAACAAAATTTACTGCTTTTCTTTACACAGTAGAAAGGGAAAACTTGGTAGCAGCAGTCCAAGTAGTTCACTTCTATTGGGGGGGGGGTATTGGAGATTGTAGATACAGAAACTTTCTGTTCCATTGCAAAATGGGCTGGGTAGAACAGAGATGAGCCCCCAGGGACTTACCAGCATTAGGATTCCACATGTCCAGATGTTAGCTCCAGCCTAAAAAGGAAAAGAGGCAAAAATCTGAAAGTCCTAGGAGAGGAAGAGGATTTTCTAAAGTTGGAACTCCACCCTCCAGCTTCTGCCTTATAAAGGCTCTAACTAACTACTAGTTATGGTGACCCATGCCTTTAGTTCCAGCGCTAAACAGAGCTCTGAGTTCAAGGCCAGCCTGATCTACAGGCAGAGCTCCAGGACAACCAGGGCTACCCAAAGAAACCCTATCTCAAAATAAATAAATAAATAAATAAGAACTTCCTTTTTCCAGTGCCCTCTAGCCTACTCTAGCCCAGGATCAAAAATTGAAATTCTATTCCCGCCCCTCCCTCTTTTACTACCTCAAGCCACACCTGGAGGAGTCTACTTTCCCCATCACTCATTTCCCTTTCCCCAGAAAGGAAGCAGGTCTTTAATCACCAGGACCCCGCCCTGGAGCAGCAAGAGGAAGGAAACTCCAGGTCCTCAAACGCTTAGATAAGGAAACACACACACACACACACACACACACACACACACACACACACACACACACACACACACGGCAAATGGAGTTCCTAGTTCCCAGATACAAACAGGCCCCTGACCCCTATTAACACACACACACACACAGAAAGAGAGAGAGAGAGAGAGAGAGAGAGAGAGAGAGAGAGAGAGAGAGAGAGAGAGAGCAAACGGAGTTCCTAGTTCCCAGATACAAACAGGCCCCTGACCCCTATTAACACACACACACACACACACACACACACACACACACACACACACACCACACACACAAACACACGGCAAACGGAGTGGAAAGAAGGGAATTAGGGAGGCCAGATGCCCTGTCACCCTGTCACCTTATGAAGACAGCTTGTCCTGCTGGTGCCGCCTGCCTTTTCAGTCTGAGTTCGCACTTCCTAGTCACCCTATTCATTCTATGCTTCCGCACCGCCCCTGTGACCTAGTTGATAATTATGTGGCTACTTGGCATGATGATTGGAGAGCTGACTTGTCAATCGCTGTGGTCCAACTAAACTAAAAGGAAACGATTGCTCTAGCCTAGAGGCGGAGCCTTTTGGGAAGCATTGCGTGATGAAATATGGACAGACAGGTTAAATGCAGAAACACAGCAGAAACGATCTTATGGCGGAGTCCAGGCACAGGCAACTGCAAGCAAAGACCCCGAGCCACAGAGATAAACTCTCATTGGGTTATTGATTTTTTAATTTATTTTTTCATACGTATGTGTGTTTTGCCTGAATGTATGTATGTGCACCAAGCGCCTGCTTGATGACAGCGGAAGTCATCAAATCCCCTGGTGGTAGTGAGCAACTGTGTGGGTGCTAGGCACTGAACTCAGGTATTAGGCATGAGAAGCAAATGTCCTTAACTGTCGAGCCATCTCTCCAGTCCCTGTGATTGGTTTCAGGTTACAATCAGTGAGTATATTAGGAGTTGTTTAAAAAAAAAAAAAAAAAAAAAATGGGGGTAGGGAGGTACAAGCCCAGCCTAGTGGCACTTACCTGTAACCTAGCGCTTGGGAAGTGGAGGGGAATCATGAGACTGAGGCCAGCCAATACAACTTAAACAACAGAGAAAAGTGGAGCAGTGGGGGTGGGTGCCTTTATTCTCGGCACTGTGGAGGCAGAGGCAGACTGATGTCTGTGAGTTCAAGAACTTGATCTATATAGATAGCGGAGGCTATACAAACTCTGGCAGGCCGCAGAGGTGATGGGTGCTGCTGAGACTCTAAACCTCAATATCTCCAGTCTGTGAAAAGCAAAGACACATTCTTGAGGGAAGACATTTCCTAAGCTCTCACAAAACTCTCCTTGATATTTCATTGCTCTGTCACCTGTCAGGTTGCTTTTAACGAAAACTTAGGTCATCCTTTGTTGTTTTGTTTTGTGTTTTCTTGAGACTGGGTTTCACTATGTAGCCCAGGCTGACCTCAAACTCACAGCAGCTCTCCTCACTCAGCCACCTTATGATGCTCTCTCTTACGATTCCCCTTCACCCTAACCCCAGTGCAACACAGTTATATTTTTGTCTCCCAAATACATCTGTAACTCCCCCACTTCCATCTGCCTTGCCCCTAGCCTGTCATAATGTCCTGGATTGCTACATTTGCACCTTTTGTATAGAGAGAATTTCTATTTTCATCTTCTGTGCATTGGTGCTTTGCCTGTGTGTCTGTGTGAGGATGTCAGATCCCCTGGAACCAGAGTTATAGACAGTTGGAGCTGCCATGTGGGTGCTGGGGATTGAACCCAGGTCCTATGGAAGACCAGCTGATTCTCTTACCCACTGACCATCTTTCCAGCCCAATTGTCCCATTCTTGTTTGTTTGGTTGGTTGGTTTTGGTTAGCCCTGTGCAACACACAACATTTAAGGATTGATCCCTTTTCCTAAGCACATTGGGGATATTTACAAGAAGAGTTACATAACCATGCATGGTGGCGCTTCCTGGTAACCCCAATAGGGAATAGGCAGGTGTAGCAGGGGGATCTGTAGCTCAGAGTCACCTCCCCTACTATTCCATATCAAGTTCAAGATTAGCCTGGGCTACATGAGACCTTATGGGGAAAGGGAGATCAGTTAAATCCTCAGTCAACTATATTTCAATTAATGTAATTCAATTATCAGAGGATTGTATAACTCATGCCATATATTATTTGGAGTCTTGGTTTGTTTGAGACAAGGACTCCCTATGTAGTCCTGAATGGCCTGGAGCTTGCTATATAGACCAGACTGGACTCCGTGGTGCTCAGATTATAGTCATAAGTCACCATGGCTTGTTCTTTTTTCCTTCCTTCCTTTTTTTATTTTTTGTAGAGAGACAAAGAAAGGGTCTCAATATGCCCAGTATGTAACCAGACTCTTTCTATTTCACCCTCCCAGTGGCTGTGATCATAGTTTCATGCCATTGTTCCCTGTTGTGGAATATTATTTTAAGGTGTGTCACATTTGTTTATGCTGTAGAACATTTGTTTTAATGATGCAAAGATGTGTTACATTCTTTTATGTTGCATTTGTTTAACTCTGTGAAGCTGTGATTCTTTGCCTGTCTACAACACCTGATGGTCTAATAAGGAGCTGAATGGCCAATATCAAGGCAAGAGAAAGGATAGGCGCGGCTGGTAGGCAGAGAGAAAAAAAAATAGGAGGGGAAATCCAGGAAAAAGAAGAGAAAGAAGGAGAGAACAGGGAGAGGAGAACACTACCAGCAACCCACCTACACAGCCAGCCCAGAAGTAAGAAAAGGAAAAAGCCCAGAAGCAAAAGGAAGAAGGTGATGGGAGATGTCATTCTGTATATGTTTCTCATATTGGTTAATGAATAAAGCACTGTTGGCCAATAGGTAAGGAAGATAGGAGGGACTAGGAGACAAGGAGGAAAGAGGAAGTAGGAAGGAGGAGTCAAGATGGAGAGTCTGGAGAAAGCAGTATGCCGGTCGGCTCCCCGGTAAGAGAAATACATAGATCAGTAGAAATGGGTTAATAATTAAGTCAGAGCTAGCCGATAAGAAAGTAGTAACTGGCAACAGTATAATATCTAATACAGAGTATCTATGCGTTATTTGGGGCTGGCGTGGCGGCGGGACAAAACTAGGCGGCGGGAGGAAAAAACTGTATGCCTTACAAGAAGGGACAGTTTAAGAAAAGCTGGGTAGGTGCTAGAGGGATGGCTCAGTGGTTAAGAGTACTGGATACTCTTCCAGGGGTCCTGAGTTCAATTCCCAGCAACCATATGGTGGCTCACAACCATCTGTAGTGAAATCTGCTGCCCTTTTCTCGCCTGCATACAGGACACTGTATACATTATATAATAAGCAAACCTTTAAACAAAAAAAGAAAAAAAAGCTGGCTAGAAATAAGCCAAGCTAAGGTCTGTTGTTGTTTTACACAGGATGTCCTGAAATATCAATTTTTAATGATTTTATTTGCATATTATACACACAGTGTTCTGTCCTTAGGTATTCTTTTCTTGCAGGCCAGAAGAGGGCACTAGATCTCAGTTCGGATGGTTGTGAGCCATCATGGGGGGGGGGGGGGAATTGAACTCAGTCCATCTGGAAGACCAGCTAGTGTTCTTAACCACTGAGCCATCTCTCCAGCCCAAAGGTCTGGAGTTTATAAGTAAGAAAAAGTCTCCACATGTGATTTACTTTGTAGGCTGGATGGCAGGTCCTGTAAAAGAGTAAACAAAAAAAAAAAAAAAAAAAAAAAAAGCTGCTACAGTTCCTAGTAAATCAACAGTTGTTTAGTTTGTTTTGTTTTTTTGTTTGTTTTTTGAGACTATGCTTTCCTATATAATTCAGGCTGTAGGAGAAGCAATCTTCCCACTTCTGCCTCTCTTGGGTGCTAGAATAATAGGAGTGAGCCAGCACTCTCAGAATTATTATTTTTTTTTTTTTCAAGACAGGGTTTCTCTGTGTAGCTTTGGAGTCTGTCCTGGAACTTGCTCTGTAGACCAGGCTGGCCTCGAACTCACAGAGACCTGCCTGCCTTTGCCTCCCGAGTGCTGGGAGTAAAGGTGTGTATCACCAAGCCAGGCAGTATATGATGTTTTTCATCTGTGCACCATGTGCAGGCAGCGTAAGTCAAAAGGGGACATCATATTCTCCTGGGACTGGACTTGTGAGCTCCCACATGGGTGCAGGGAATTAAATCTGGAACTTCTGGAAGTTGCTCTTAACTTCTGAGCCATCACTCTAGCCCCCATAAACACGTTCAAAGGCTGGAAACCTTTAATCATTATTTAAAAGCTATACAACTTTACATACATTCTGAACTTTTCCAGTCTTGCGTTTCTTCCTGTGTACAGAGGGCTAGAGAACTGTCATGGAAAACAAAAGCAGACTGAGCAGAGGCATGCTATAACCAGATTTCAAAGATTATTCTATCTAGGAATTGGTGGTACACACCTTTAGTCCCAGCACTTAGAAGGCAGAGGCAAGTGGATCTCTGTGAGTTCGAGGCCAGACTGGTTTACAGAGCTAGTTCCAGGATAGCTCCCAAAGCCACAGAGAAATCCTGTCTCAAAACAAAACAAACAAACAAAAAAAGATTATTCTAAAAGGGACTGGCAAAATAGCCTAGTAGGTAAAGGCACATACTGACAAGCCAGACACACACATACACACCTATACTTTTAGCACGGTAGAGGGTAAAGCAGGAGGATCTCAAGTTGAGGTCAATCTGGACTACTGAGCTACATAGCAATCAAGGCTACAGAGTGAGACCTTGTTTTGTAAGAAATAATAAATAAAAACATAGTAATGGTTAGCTTAGGAAAGGAATAAACATGGAATAAAGGGATTTATCTATTTATCACCAAAAAAAAAAAAAAAAAAAAAAAAAAAGAGGAAAAGAGAAAGTAGGTATGTAGGTATGGTGGTGGTAATGATCCAAGCTTATAATCCCAGCACTTTGAAGGCAAAAGCTGAAGAATCAGAAGTTCAAGGTCATCCTTGATCTACTCAGGAAGTTTGAGGTCACCCTGAGCTACATTTATAAACCCTGTCTATAAAGAAGAAGATAAATAAAGGAAGCACTTCATAACAAAGCACACAAGGCCTGGCCCTCAGTTCTTCACACATCCTTCCCTGTCACGTCACCCCTTCTACACATTTATTTATTTAGAGACAGGACCTCACACTTAGCCTAGGATGGCCTCAAGCTTGCTATGAAATGTAGGTGAACTTGAAGTCTTATAAATATTTAAAACAAATTTTATTAGGGGTGATGGCTATTCTTGATTGTCAACAACTACATCTGGAATTAACTAAAATCCAAAAGTGGATGGCACACCCATGAGGGAATTTTACTGAATTTGAAGTAGGTAGATGTATGTCTAATACAGATCTTGACATACCTTGGATCTAGGCCACACCTTTTGCTGGGATCATGTAAGGACACGGAAGAAGGGAGATTTTGCTCTTCACCTGCTTGCTCTGGCCTTGCTAGCAAATCCATTCCTTCTCTGCCATTAGAGCCTAGTTCTTTGGGATTCCAGAACAGGGGAGACATCTAGCCTCATGGACTGAGCAACAAACTATATTCTTGAACTTTCCACAGCCAGCCATTGTTGAAGTAGCTGGACCTTAACCTATAAGTCATTTTAGTAAATGCTCTATAGATAGATAGATAGATAGATAGATAGATAGATAGATAGATATACATTCTATAAATTCGTATAGGGTAAGAGGAAATTTTACTTTTTTTTTCAAGACAGTTTCTTTGTGTAGCCCTAGTTGTCTTGGAACTTGCTCCATAGACCAGGCTGACCTCAGAGTCTCAGAGATTTGCCTGCCTCTGCTTCTGCCTCTGCCTCCTGAGTGCTGGGATTAAAGGTGTGTGCCACCACCAGGTGGAAATTTTACTTTTAATGTATACAATCTTATGGAAAACTTGTATATTTATCTTTGTATGTGTGTGGTGTGGTTTTTTGAGATAGGGTTTTGTGTAGCTTTGTAGACCAGGTTGGCCTCGAACTCACAGAGATCCACCTGCCTCTGCTGGAATTAAAGGTGTGTGCCACACATATTTATCTTTTAAAAGAGGCCCTTTTGAAAATATATGGAATGTTTCACAAAGATGTGTGTCATCCTTGCACAGGGACCGTGGTAATCTTGGTATGGTTGTAATTTTAGTGTGTGTGCTTCTGAAGCAATTACATGTGCTGATTGTGTGTCTGCTTGTGTGTATGTGCATCATGTGGTGGCCACAGAGGCCAGAAGAAGGCATTAGATACCCTGGAACTGGAATTAAATCTCATAATAGGGGTGCTGGGAACTAAACCCTGGTCCTCTGCAAGAGCAACAAGGGCTCCTGACTGGGCCATCTCCCTCTAGCCTCTGAACTTTTGATCCTCCTACCTACAAATCCCTGTTAGCCCCTGCCTCCACTTTCTGGGATTACAAGCATGCACACCCAGTTCGTGCAGTGCTAGGAATGGAACCCGGAGCTTCATGCGTGCTCTGTAAGCATCCTACAAATTGAGCTAATCTCCATCACTGCTTCCTACTTTTGATCTATAACTTACTCATAGACTCTGTGTGTACTCTGTTCTGTGTGCTATCACTCCTTACAGGACCTGCAATGCCTTAGTGCTGCTGACACTCCTGGGAAACTCCTGCCTCAGCAAACTTCAGCTCCAGCATCCTGTGCTTCATGAAGCCTCCCTGTGTTCAATCCTCTGCTCTTTACCCCCTGACACTATATAGAGCCCCACTGTGTGAACTTCAGCCAGCCATCTTAGCACCTTCAGGGCAGTGACTTCATTTGGATCACTCCTCCCCCCACCCTGGTGCCCAGCAGGTGATGCCACCATTTGAAAATGAATCCTGGTGGTGCTAGAGAGATGGCTTAGAGGTAAAAACGCATTTACTCCCCTTCCAGAGGACCCAAGTTCAATTCTCAGCACCTATACTAGGTGTCTTACCCCTCCAGCTCCAGGGGTACCCAATTTCTCTGGCCTCTCTAGGCACCTGCACCCATATGTACATACCACACACACAATTACACATAGTTAAAATAATACAAATAAAATCTTTAAAAGTAAGTGTTGGTGCCTGGCATGCTGGCACACACCTTTCAGCCTAGCACTTGAGAGAGAGGCAGGTGGATCTCTTTAAATTCAATGTCAACCTGGTCTACAAGTGAGTTCCAGGCTTACCAGGGCTATGTAGTGAGACCTTGTTTAATACATATATACATACATACATACATACATACATACATACATAAATGCTAGTGCCTCAAACCTGCAATCCCAATACTTGAGATACTGAGGCAAGAGGATAGCTGTGCATTTAAGATTAACCTGGGCTACATATTGAGTAGTAGGTTAGCCAAGGCTACACAGCAAGACCCTGTCTCAAAAATAAATAATAGGGCTGGAGAAATGGTTCAGCAGTTAAGAGCACTGGCTGCTCTTCCAGAGGACCCGGGTTCGGACCTGTTCTCAGCATCCACATGGTGGCTCGCAACTCCTGTTCCTGGGGATCTGACACCCTCTTCTGACCTCCAAGGGCTCCTGCATGCATATGGTGCACACAAACACACAAACTACAAATGAAGTAAATAGATCTTAAAATAAATAAACACACATTAGTGAAAAAGAAGAATAAAAAGGAGGCAAGCCCAAGGCCAACACCAGGAAACCTTTATTCTCTTTCCTGAGCACATATACCCCAGGGGTTAGAAACCCACAGAGAATGACAGCAACAGGTATGTGATCGCCGCATGTATGTTAGCTGTATTAGAGTTCATACAAACTGCTCATTTACACGCAAACACTGGTACTAACAGGCTGAGGACTCATAGAGCCAGTGGCCTGCTGGACACTGAGGTGGCAGGAACCCTGCTGAGGCCTGCAGGGGACAGTGGCAGAGGCAGGTGCTGAAGGACAGCTTTCTGGGCAGAGAGGGATACAGGCCTTGGGATGGCTCTCTGGGAAGGAGGAAGCCACCTGTGGGTAAGCCAGGGCCGCCAGGCGCTGCTGCACACACTCAGCAGTCAGTCGTGCTTCCGGGTCTGCATCCCAGCAGTCTTCTAGGAGCTCCCTCAGTGCCCCAGCGTCCTGGAGGAAAGGACTAGATGGCAGGCCTGAGCCAACCCCAGAGTGGATGTCTTCAGCATTCACTTCTCTGTGTGCTCTACCCCACGCTGCACAGAGCCCTTGCTAAGCTCCACTACTCCTGACTCCTCCATGCCCCACTTGTGGAGCACCCCCAGTCCCACTCCCTCAAGTCCAGGCCTCTGAGGTTTGTTCCCCATGACCTTTTCCTCTGAGGATAATTCAGGAGGACAACTTACATGCTAAAGGAAAGTTACTCTCCTTCCTCTCAGTCAAGTAGTATGTCCTACAGAAAAAGCTTGGCTCCCATTAGCTAACCCAACAGACATCTGTATGGTAGAAATCTCAGGCTGGGCAGTGGGAGAAAGGGCATCTCCTCAGGAAATCATTTGTGAAGAGCTATGCACTTTCACTGTCAGGCAACTCTTCTGACCTTGTCACACCTAGAACCTTGTCACACCTAGAATAGGCTTTAATCACTCTGTAGCTGAAATGCAGCTGTATAGTACAAAATGATGGGGCACTGGGTTGAATTTGGGGGCCCATGGTACCAGAATAGACACTGTCACAGGGACAGAGCTCTGCACTGGAGCAAAGCCAGAGAAGACTTCCTGGAGGAGACTGAACAAAGAGAAACTGATGGAATGAGGGGTGCCAATAGAAAAGTAGCCATAAGAGGGTGTAAGTCTCAGGTAGGTGGAACCAGTTGTCTGAGACTTAGAGAAGAAAAGGTAAACTGAGGACAAGTATGGGAGTGGGAGGTGTGGCTGTAGCAGAGAAGTCCTCGATATCCATACCCAGTCCCCTCTCCTGGTCCCCAGCTGGTGAGCCTGTGATTTCTTACTGTAGCAGAGCAGCTCCAAGTAGATGGGATGTTGGGGCGCCTTCTCTCCTCTACTGCCAATGCCCAGAGCTCACAGGCACTGGGATCGCTGCCCAGTTCTGCCTCATAGGCCAGTTGGAAAGGTGGTGGTCTGCGGTCTGGGAAAAGTATAGGCATCATGTCAACCTACTCTGGTTAGGGGGCTTCCAGGAAGAAAAACTAGGGAAGGCCATAGCATTCTACAGTCAGGCCAGGAGGAAGATGGGATACTGGCTGGGGATGGAGACTTTACCAGGCCTCAAATCGGAACAGCGGCTCAGGATCTCCCATAGGAGCAGAGCCAGAGAATAAACATCTGCTCTCTGGAGGGCTGTGCCCCAGTCCTGTAGGTCTAGAGTCTTGTCCAAGAGCTCTGGAGCCATGTACCTCTGGGTGCCAGCCTGGAGAATAAGATGTGGAATGCCAGGAATCAGCTCTGTGGCGAACTGCCCTGCAGCTCTGGTGCACATTTCCCCCAATTACAGACTCAGCAGTGACCCATGCACTAGCAAAGCTGCACCATTGCAGCAGCCACGGTTGTATGCTCACAGCACTACCATCTTCTTGGCCTCACACTCACCTCCAAAATGGCAGCTGGGCCTTGGGGTTGAGTAGGCGCTGAGGCAGCGGGCCGAGCAAGGCCAGGGAGCACCAAGGCAAGTCCCAGGTCTCCAATGGCACATGACCTATCTTCCCGAATGAGGACATTCTGGCTGCTCAGGTCTCGGTGGGCAATACCTGGTTTATATTGGCCTGTGGAGAAATCCAAGGTTTAAGGAACTCAGACCATCTGGTTTTCCTTGACCTGGTCCTTCTCCTCTAAGAGAAAAGAACTAGACTCAGTGATGTGACCCCTGACTCTCCTGCCTGCCTGTTGTGGGTTCACTTACCATCCTGCCAGCGCTCCTCATGGAGAAATGCCAGGCCTTCAGCCAGGGACAGAGCCATCCTCAAGGAACTTCCCCAATCACTGGTGTACTGAGTCAAGTAGTGGCACAGGGAGCCCTGGAGAAAAAGCAGAGGGAAGAGCAGGGCACACAGAAATAGGGGGAAATCATCCCAGAAAGCAAAGATCTACTGACAGACCCCACACACCAGCCCGCACCTCCCCAGCACACAGAGACAGCCTGACAGAACCAGGTCAAGACACTACAGACAGTGGGGGCATACGAATATACGTCAGTCAAAGTGACAGGAGAAATATAGTAACTCTAGTTGGGCATGATACCAGACAACTGCCAGCCAGCCAGCACCTGGGAAGTGGAAGGAGAGGATCAGGAAAAAGCCAGTCTGGGTTACAGGACACCCTGCCTGAAAGCACAAATGCATGTGCACACGCAAACACACACACAAATAAAATTAAAATAATACTTTTAGCCAGACATGGACGTGGTAGCACTTGCTTGTAATCTCAGCACTCAAGAGGCTGAAGCAGGCAGCTCCTACATTTAAGGCCCAATACAAGGCCCAATACAGTGATACTGAGTACTTACTGTGACACAGGCCCTTCGAACAGGGTTTCCTAGTCCTCATGAGGACCCCAGCGTGAAGGAATTCTGATCACCCTAATTTTTGTGAATTTTTTTCTCTTTTTCACCTCTCTTTCTTATTTGTGTGTGGTGTATGTGTCTGTATGTGGGTACATACAGAAGACAATGTGCTGGAGTTGGTCTCCTTTCAGCACACAGGTTCCAGGGACTGACCTTAGGTCTTCAGGTTTGGTGGAACCATCTTGCTGGACCTTTTACCTTTTTTCCTTTTTTTACCCCCATCCCTGCCTCTCCCTGCCCACCCCTGCAGGCCACTTTCTTTTAGACAGGATCTCACTAGTACATTGTAACCCTGGCTGACACAGAAGTCACCATGAGGATGAGGCTCTCCCATCAAGTTTGCAGTGACCCTCTTGCCCCTACCTCCTGAGTGTCAGCAATATAGGCACAAACTACCACACCTGGTCAGAGTTGAAGTGTTAGAGAATGCTGAGTAAGCTTGTTTGGGGTCAAATGATGAGAAAGGAGTGGAGTTTTCAGAATCTGAATCAAGAATCACTGTCATGTGCTGACTCAGTTGATTCAAAACAAGGGTAGTCAAGGGTATCCCTCAAACCTCCTGGTCTGGGGTAGCAGGCCTGCATAGACATGGATGGGTAGAGCTATTGGAGGAGGAGCAACTGGGGCCAGGCCATTCATTGAGATTCTGAGCACCTTCAGGTGTGTCAACAGCTGTGCCCAGGTAGCACTGTGACTAGGAATAGGTGATCATATAAGCAGAGAATACAATATAACAATGAACTAAATGCCATGGCTGTAAAGCAAGTACAGCTACAGTACTTGTAACAGTCAGAGGAAGCTAAGGAAATAAGAAGGAATTGTATATCTGTACATGTATTTTGAGACAGGTTCTCTTTCTAACTGGAGCTTACTCAATAGACCAGGCTGGCCATAAGCCCCAGAGACCTGTCTATCTCCACCATCCTTGTATTATGATTAAAAGCAAACATCACCATGCCTGGATTTTTCTTCTTTTTCTTAGCATTACAGGTGTACACCACTACACCTGGCTCTCTTTTGTCTTTCTCTTTATAACCTTTATTTTACTTTTAGTGAGGCATGGTGGCACATGCCTTTAATCCTAGCATTCTGGAGGCAGAGTCAGGTGAATCTCTGTGAGTTTCAGGTTACCCTGGTCTACAGCATGAGTTCCAGGACAGCCAGGGCTACATAGAGAGACCCTGTCTCAAAAAACAAACATACAAACAATAGTGTATTTTGCTTTTGGGTTAGAGAGGCGACTCGATACTGCTCTCTAAGTGGGCCTGAGTTCAACTCTTAGCAACCAGATCAGTTAACTGCCTATAACTCCAGCTCCAGGGGATCTGATGCCTTTAATCTCCGAGAGTACTGGCATTCATTTACACATACCTACATGCAGACAGGATTTCTCTGTGTAGCCCTTGGCTGTTCTGGAACTAGCCCTATAGACCAGGCTGGCCTCGAACTCAGGGATCCACCTGTTTCTGCCTCCCAATTGCTGGGATTAAAGGCGTGTGCCACCACTGCTTGGCTAAAAATAAACTCAAATTTTTATTTAAGTATGGGTATGTGTGAAAGAATGTGAATTTGCAGGTGCCCATGGAGACCAGAAGAGAGCATTGGACCCCCTGGAGTTAGAGTTACAGGAAATTATGACACCTGGCACGGATACTGGGAGCTGAAATAGCATCCCTTGGGAGAGCAGTCAGTACTCTTAACTGCTGAACCATCTCTCTTGCCCCCACATCTGGCTTCTTAAATAATTTCTGAGAACTGAACTCAGGTCCTCATGCTTGCAGAGCATGACTAAACTACATCCTCAGGCCAAAAACTTATTTTTCAATAGGGTCAGGAAGCATGTGGTCAAAAAAGGAGCTTTCCAGAACTCAACCTCTCAGCAATGAGTTGTAAAGATTGATAAAATCAGCCAGGTGTCAGTGGCATACATCTTTAGTCCCAGAACTTGGGAGGCAGAAGCAGGTAGACACTCTGTAAGTTCGAGGCCAGCCTAGTCTACAGAGCTAGTTCCAGGACAGACTCAAAAAGAAAAAGATTAATAATATCTGGGGAAGGGAGAGGGGCCTAGAGAGATGGCTCAGCAGTTTAGAGCACTGACTGCTCTTCTAGAGGTTCAATTCCCAGCAATCCCACACACAGTGGTTCACAAATATCTGTAATGAGATCTGGCGCCCTCTCCTGGCATTCAGCATACATGCAAGCAGAGCACTATATACACAAACAAAAAGGCAGTCATTGATTGCCTTTAAGCACTGATGCGGGTTAGGAGCTGAAGTAAGATTAGGGTGAAGAAGTGGGAGGGGAGGTCTCATCTCCAGGAACAGACAATGCTGATGGCAGATAAACAGGAGACAGAAGAGGCAGTGAGGAGTCAGTCTCCACTCACAGGTCCTGGGCAAATGACTTTCCTTTTCTCATCTATAAATGTGATTTCTACCTCACAGCATGCTCATAAAGGTAAAGCATGTGAAGGTGTTTCAAGTGCCCAGAGAGTGCAAGGAACTTAAAATGCTTCCCAGTCTTCAACAGGCCCAGACTCCAGGTGGTCCCACCTTTGCCGACTTCTTCCTCTTCACTATTTTCAGGGTTTGTTTTCTTCTGTGAGTTTTTTTTTTTTTTTTGGGGGGGGGATGTTTTTATTTTAGATAGTCTTACTATGGACCCTTGGCTGGCCTTGAACTCACACAGATCCACCTGTCTCTGCCTCCCAAATGCTGGGAATCAGGGTTATACCCCTACACTCAGGCCTGTCTTGTTTTCTTGAGTCAGGGTTATAAATATATAGCCCAGGCTAGCCTGAAATTCACTCCAGTCCTCCTGGTTCAGCCTCCCAAGTACTGAGATTATAGTCAAGCAGCTCTACCTTCAGGCTTCTTCCTCTTCACATTGTTCACTTCCTACCTTAGGCCACATACATTCTTTTCATTAAAAAAATATCTAAGGGACTGTAGCAACAGCTTAGCTGTTACACTGCCTGCTCTTCCAGAGGATGGTGGTTTAATTTCCAGGACCTGCATAGCAGCTCATCTGAAGCTGACACCCTATGTCCTCTCCAGGCATGCACACGGTGTACAGATGTAATATATGCAGTGAAACAACACTTTTTTTGTTTTTGGTTTTGGTTTTTTAGGTTTTTTGTTTTTTTTTTTTTTCCTGAGACAGGAATTCTCTGTGTAGCCCTGGCTATCCTGGAACTCACTCTGTAGATCAGGTTAACCTTAAACTCACAGAGATCCACCTGCCTCTTATACACATATTTTTTTAAAAAATTATTATTGTTACTATAGAAAGAGGGAGTCTTTGGGAGCACATGCTATAGTGCATGCATAGACATCAGAGAACAACTTTGTAGAGTTCTCTCCTTCTACTTTTACTAGGGTTCTGGGGACTGAATTCAGATGGCTAAGGCTTACACAGCAAGCTTCTTCATAGCTGAGCCATCTCACCATGCCCTCAGATCAACTCTTATTATCCTTCCTTCCTTCTTTCCTTCCTTCCTTCCTTCCTTTCTTTCTTTCTTTCTTTCTTTCTTTCTTTCTTTCTTTCTTCCAGATAGGGTTTCTGTGTAGCCTTGGAGCCTGTCCTGGAACTCACTCTGTAGACCAGGCTGACCCTAAACTCACAGAGATCAGCCTGCCTCTGCCTCCCGAGTACTGGGACCAACACCCAGCTTTCCTTTCGATCTTAACACACTTGACATTTGGTATTTTTGTGTTTATCTGTTTCTGCAACCTGTTTTGTTAGTCTATAAAATCTGTAAAATTAGGGACCATATGTGCTTTCTCAGCATCTAGCAATACTTGCCATATTGGTTTTTGTTAAAAAGGAGTTTATATTTATTTTTATTGGTGTTTTCCTTGCATGTATGTCTGTGTAAAGGTGTCAGAAATACTGGAACTGGAGTTATAGACAGATGTGAGCTGCCACATGGGTGCTGGGAATTGAACCCAGGTCCTCTGTCAGAGCAGACAGTGCTATGAACCACTGAGCCATCTCTCCAGCCTGCCATATTGTTTATAAATATTAGTTAAATGAACACATGAATGAATTGGACAGCTGTGCCTGGATATGTATTTAACAGTGGCTCACTTCTAACTGGGTGTTGGTGACCCACACCTTTAATCCCAGCCCTCAGGAGGCAAAGGAACAGGCAGATCTCTGAGTTTGAGGCCAGCCTGCTCTACAGAGCTAGTTCCAGGACAGCTAGGAATACACAAAGAAACTGTCTCAAAAAAAAAAAAAAAAAAAAAAAAAAAAAAGAAGAAGAAGAAAAAAAAAAAGGAAAGGAAAGAAAAGAAAAGAAAAGAAACAAAGTGTTCTAAGAAAACATGAAGCACGAGAGTGGTATCCTTGAGGCCCCGCTACTATGTAGCACCTGGCTTCCATGAGCACACACATAGGCATAGTGCATGCACATTACCGACATTTCTTGGTGCTCACCTTAGGGTACAGTTCCAGTACCAGCAAAGGCCCAGAGGGCAGGGGCCCAGGACCCCCCTGGCCAGCAGTGATAAAGCGGACAATGTGGTTGTGCTGTAGGCCCAGCAGCTGGTACACAGCTCTCTCAGCTCGGAACTGGGCCACAGCCCTTGGGGGGAAGGCCTTGATAGCTACCATCTCACCCTGTAGTCTCCCGGCCCACACGACTGCATGACCTCCTTCTTGAATTACCTGGTGGAAACACTGCACTGAGTGCGGACCTCTAGCGAGCATCAGAGCCAGGCTTCCTCCCCAGCAGAACCTCCATGAACACCAGAGAGGAACCCACCCTCCTTTTCTGAAGCACCTGGGAGAAGCACAGCTCAGCTAGCTCTGGCAACTCCTCACTGCAGTCTTCGCCTAAGGCTGGCTCTGGGTCTGACCCACCGTACACTCCACAGGTCTTTCGTTGTAGCAGAGCTGAAGCAGAGACGATCCTTAGGGTAGAGTGCACAGGATGGAGGCAGCCAAGGGGGCTATGTAGGAAGAGAGCTTCATACAAGGAAATGTGGGGCCAAGGAGACCCTATAACTGGGGATGGGGGGATAGTGGGGGGAGGTCTGCAGAGTCTGGAGTAGGCTTGGAGCTTTGGGGAAGTGCCTTGCTATCACAAGGGAGGGGTGGGAGAAATTAGTACCCAAGATGATGCTGCCCAGCAGCAGCACGAGGAACATCCCCAGCAGCAGCAGTGCCATCCAGATGGGCCCACCTGAACAGCAAGGCAAGAAGACATGTGGGTGAGCACGGAAACCCCCCTCTTCAAAGAGATCGCTTTCCAAACCACCCCCCATGCTGGTCACAAGCCCCCTTATCTTCCAGTTGCCAGGGCAACCAACTTCCCAAGGCCAGGAGGAGGGAAACTTTGGGTAGGGGGTGGGCTGAGAACTGGCCCTGGTTCTCATCCTGATCTATGCTCTTGCCCTTTCTGGGCTTAGTACCCTGGGGAAGGCAACTACCTGTGGTAGGCTGGGGGTCCTGGGGGCCAGGAGCCCCTTGGTTCCCTGAAGGAGGCAGATGGCTGAAATTGGCATTGCAGAAGTCACTGCCACAAGAGCATGTGAGGAGAGTGGAGGTGGGGCTTGGGTGGGCTCGGGGGACTGGGTCACAGTTGAGGGATTCACAGCCTGGCTCATCACTGTCTCGGCATCCTGATGGGATGGGATTAGGGGAAGGAGAAAAAGGAAACAGAGTACGATGATGTTGGGAGGCAGAAAACAAATCCCTGCTCTATCAAAGGCATCCCTCCATCTGACATCCTTTTTCCCCCTCTACACATTCCACTTCTCCCGGTCCCTCTTGGCTGCCTCCCTCAACTTGGACATGCCTGTTCCCTACTCTAGCTCTCACCCACCATATATTTTGCCATTCACCTTGCATCTCCACATGTGCCCGGCCATGGGTCAGATTCCAGATGCCAAAGCAGCAATGGCTATAGAGGCAGCGGATACTCTTAGGGGGGCCTGGTCTTTCATCTAGCACTTCCCCCAGTGTCTTTGTGCTTCCTCGTACTCCAGGAGCCTCAAAGAACACACAGGTCCTACTGGTTGGGAATACTGAAATCCAAGATGAAGAAAGGGAGTCAAGAAGGGAGTAAAGGCAGGGACAAAGGGCAGCCAAAAGGATAAACAAAATAGGATCTCAGGGTCAGTACAGCAGAGGAACAAGGAAACACCAGCAGGGGCCTGAGGCCTGATCCCCACCATGGGGACATGTGGTTCTGTCCTTCACCTTCACTTATCCAGCCCACTGACCTCTTCCTCTTCCAGATGGGTAGCTGCTGCTTCAAGTACACCTTTTCTCTTACTGGGTGGAATAAAGATCCTGCCTGTACCTGTAGACACTTACCTTGTGCAACCGCAGAAAGCAATATCCAAAGCCCCAGTATCCCCAGCATCCTGCTAAAGGATGGCAACAGGACAGCACAAACAAGCACAGCTACCTCATTCAAGGATTCCCGCAAATGCAGGGCACTGTAGAGCTTCCAAGCCCTCAATCCCCAACTCCGCCCCCTCTGTCCTATACCAGTCTCTGTGGGAGAGAAGGGTTTCTGTGGGGGAGAAAACAGGGAGAGAAGGGAGGAGCAGAGAACCAATCTCATATCCTTTCTTCAAACACCTCCTCTTCTCTGCAGAGTGGGAGGAAGGGACCTTGGCTGCCTGGCTGAGAACCCTGTGATAACTAACTTCAAAATCTCTATCCTTCACTGACCTTGGAAAAAGGTGCTGGATCTTCAGCCTTTCTCCAGCAGATGTCAAATGTTAGGAGCCACTCAGCTCTGCCCAAGACCCTTCCTAACTCACTATTGAGAGCTCAGATTCTTCCGAACAGAGGAAGACTCCACAGTCCATACTAAGTAGATCTCACTTTCCAAACTCCAGAATCAGAAAGGATATGAAAGCTTTCAGATTAAAAAAAAAAATCATAGGCAGGGTAGTGGTGGCACATGCCTTTAATCTCCTTTAATCCCAGTACTCAGGAGGCAGAGGCTTTCACAGAGAAACCTTGTCTCAAAAAACAAAAAACAAAAACAAAACAAACAAACAAACAAAAAAAAAAAACCAACAAAATCACTGTAGGACTGGTAAGATGACACAGTGGGTCAAAAGTACTTGCCACTCTTGTAGAACACCTGGGTTTGGTCCCTAGTACCCACACAGTAGCTCACACTATTTGTAACTCCATTTCCAGAAGATCAGATACCCTCTTCTGCCCTCCATGAACACCAGGCATGCGTATGGTGCATAGATATACATGCAGCCAAAACACCCAGGCAAATGGTAGCCAAGCAGTGGTGGTGCAGGCCTTTAATCCCAGCACTCAGAAGGCAGAGACAGACAGATCTTTGTGAGTTTGAGGCCAGTTCTAGGACAGCCAGGGCTACACAGAGAACCCTGTCTCAAAAAAAAAAAAACAAAAATAAATAAACAAACAAATAAATAAATAAGAAAGAAAGAAAAAGAAATTGTTAGAATGGTAATTTTGTTATGTATTTTTCCTTGATGAAAAAAGAAAACAGTTAACATAGTGGGCAGTTAGTTGCCTAGAGTGTACAGAGAGCCCTCCTTAGCATAAGCAGTACGAAGCACACACATATACACACACTCCTATGGATTCAAACACTAAGGAAATTACCACCATTAAGAAGATAACTTTTATTGAGCATCTACTATGTTCTAGGGAAAGTAAGAGATATGCACTTTTAAGTCATCTAATTTTTTACACTGATATTTTTAGGGTCTATACTTTATAGGTAAGGAAATTCAGCATAAATGAGCTGTCCATATGTAACAAAAATAAAAATAAAGCATAGCTGAGATTTGGACCTAGATATGTATGACTCCAAAGTACAGGCTCTGTTCTGCCTATTATACAATGTTACCTTCAAACAAATCCAAACTTCAGCAACTGAAGAAATGTTTCCATACTGGGCATGGTGGCACACATACCTTTAATTCCAGCACTAGAAGGCAGAAGAGGAGGCAGATCTCTGTAAATTTGAGGCCAACCTGCTCTACAGAGAAAGTTCCATGACAGCCATAGCTATGTAGTAGACTATGTCTCAAAAATAAATATTTACACTGTTTACAATATTTCAATATTTGAATTTGGAATGCTGAAAAATGTAAACCAGCATAATGTTAATTTGTCAACAGGCTAACAACTGGAAAAGGAGCCTACAATTTAAAATCTCACCACTAGAGGTCAGCAGACATAGGAGAAACTGGTCTGTCAAAGGCCTCCTGAAAATAACAAGCAAACATAAATAAAAGAGGGCCTCTTCAGATGACTAATATTCACATTACACTCCAAAATGTCCTGTGCTGCATAAAGTATAAAGGGAGACCATAGGGTGTGTGGAGTCTATCTGTGTGTAGACAAAGAGGCTTGTGTTGCAATACAGACAGGAGTGCAATCTCATTTCCCAGCAGAGTAGGAACCAGTCATAGGTAATCATTTCTTTTCCATACCTGTGAGCAGCTGACTTCAAGAGAACTGATCAAAGTGGACTGGTTCCCCGGGCCTCTAGCTTCTATCCCTGTGGTAGCTTACTGGAAACCTTTACTCAGGATACCTGATCTTAGATCAGAGGTGAAGGTGCCAGTTTATGGAGGGCCTTTCTCCTGGGGAGCATGCCTGAGATGGGGCAAGAGCTGTAAAACAGTGGCTGGAGAAAAGGAAGGACTAGAGACAGATTCACACTTTTCCTTGGGCCCTTCTGGAAGTCTGCTAGTAAGATGGAATGCTGTATTTAGTTCCTGATGTCTTCCTTCACCAGCTCCCAGGTCAGGTAAGTGGGGATGTGGGCAGTTGAAAATCAAGTGGCTTCTTTTGCCTGGGGTGTTTCTGATGACCCTTTCTCCCAGAGTGGGAGCAGGAAAGGGATGTACCAGTAAGGGCATCTCCTCAGCCAAAGCCTTATGTCACTACTTTGTTCAAAGACAGAAACAATCCAGAAGTCAGTGATAGTAGCTCATTCCTGTCATCTCAGCATTTGGAAGGCTGAGGCAGGAAGACTGCTACGATTTGAGGCAATCTTGGGCAATATAGTCAATAGTCAATCCCAGGCCATTATGGACTAGAGTGGGACTCAAAAAGTGGGGGGGGGGGTGGAGAGACAAAACATGATGCCTGAGTTGGAATTCCAAGGACTGACATTAAAAACAAAAACAAAAACAAAAAAAAAAAAAAAAAAAAAAAAACAACTGTGTAGCCAGGTGATGGTGGCACACACCTTTAATCCAAGCACTAGGGAGGCAAGGCAGATGATTCTCTGTGAATTGGAAGCCAGCCTGGTCTACAGATAAGAGTTCCAGGACAGGCTCCAAAACTACACAGAGAGCCCCATCTTGAAAAACCACAAAACAAACCAAAACAAAAATAAACAAAAACTTACAACAATGAGAAACTGTGTGTCTGTGAACACATATGACCCAGGCTTATGGGATAAGGGTGCTTACTGCTTTTACAGAGGACCCCAGTTCTGTTTTCAGTTCACAAACACCTGTAACTACAGCTCCAAAGGAGCAAACACCTTCTGGCCTCTTTAGACACCTGCATGTGTGTGTATGCACACATAAATATACATAAAATCTCTCCATGTGTATATATGTGTAAAACAGTCTGGGCTGGTGGCACAGGCCTGTAATCTGTTACTTGGTTTAAGGAGGAGGATTACACCTTCAAGGTTTGCTAGGATACAGAAAGAGTTCAAAGCCAGCCTAGGCAATTTGGAAAAAAAAGAAAGAAAAGAAAGCCAGGTATGGTGGCACATACCCAGCACTCAGGAGACAGAGGCAGGCAAATCTCTGTGAGTTCAAGGTCAGCCTGGTCTACAGAGTTCAGGACAAGCTTCAAAGCTCCAAAGAAACTTGTCTCGAAAAACCAAAACCAACCCTCCCCCCAAAGAGAGGGGAGAAAGAGAGCACGCACAAAGGGTTATTCTTTATGTGTATTACACTTAGATAAAATTGTCCAGCATAGAAGCTTCCAGGTCAAAAGAAAGGCTAAGGCTGAAGATATGAAAGCATGAGTTTTAATGTGAAGTGTCTATGTGAAGAGCTAGCATGGCTGTGTGCACCTGTAACCCCAGCACTCTGGGAGCTCCACCCCCTCAGGCAAACCCTGGAAGCTCATTGGCCCTGCACAGCTGAAATGGTAGGCTTCTGGGGCAGGGGGAGGTCCTTTTTATTTTTTTTAAAGATTTATTTATTTTGTATGCATTGGTGTTTTGTCTGGATGGTCTGTGTTAGGGTGTGAGACCCCCTGGAACTGGAGTTACAGACAGCTGTGAGCTGCCATGTGGGCATTGAGAATTGAACCCACGTCTGCTGGAAGAGCAGCCAGCGTTCTCTCTCTCCAGCCTTGAGAGATCACTAAGGGAATAAAGCAGAGTGTGACAGAGCAAGAGACCTGATGTCCTCCTCTGTTGCCCACATGCTTGTGCATGCACACACCCCTTCCACACATACACAATATTTTGGAATCATCAATATGAATGAAGACAACTAGTGGACAGTGAGGTATGGTGGCACACCAGTAATCCCAGTAATCCCAGGACTTGGGAGACACAGGCAGTTAAGTGTGTGTGTGTATGGAGACAAACAAGTTTGTATGTGAAGGGGGAGAAAACAAACTAGGGTGGATGAGACTTGTTCGAGAAGGATGGAGAGGGCCTAGGATGGAATACCAATGCTTAAGTTTCTAGGAAGTAATGCTTCTGAAGACTAGAAAGCCCGGAGAAGCCGTAAGAGTGTGTTAGTGTCACTTTGTTTTTCTAGTGCTGGCTGACTTCCTTAATTTTTCACCATGATATACATACATACAGTGGGGGGGGGGGGGCTATGTAGGTCAGGTTGTCCTCTGAGGTTGACCTGCCTCTGCCTTTTGAATGCTGAGATTACAAATGTTAGCCACCACACTTATCTTATTCTTTACACCTATTTGAGTGCTGCGAGCACACATGTGAATGGCACATCACACATGTGAAAGCCAAAGGCCAACCCTCAGGAGCTAGTTCTCTCCTAACACCATTTGGGTCCCAGGTTTAGGGGAAATTACCTTTATCCATTGAGCCA